TATATTTTTAATATCGATATTGAAACGTCCGTCAGGCTCGCATAAGGCTCGCTCGATCTATTGAAATGCAAAACGCATTTTAAAGCAAACGTATCAAACGTCACGTGTTTGTGGAATCGATTAAATTTAAAATAATGTTGTTTTCGCTAAGTAAAATGAGGTAACTTTTTTGGAATGTATGCTTGTTCTGAATAGCAAATAGTTTGTTGCGTAATGCTTGAAAGGAAAAGCAATATAGTATAATACTACTCGTTGACATGACAGCTTAATTCAATATCATCATTATCAGCTCACTATACGTCCCCACCGGGGTCTCGGAGCCTACCCTAAGTTAAAGGTGATTAGGCCATAGTCAACCACGCTGGCCAAGTGCGGGTTGGTTGACTTCACACATATCTTTGAATAACATCTCAGAAAACATGTGTGTGCGGTGTTTACATCGTACAATCATAGTACAATAATATTATGATATCCGATGCTATGGATAAAAAGTGATCACCCTTTAACTTTTAAGACTATAAACTATTGCAATTCTTGATAAAAAAAAACGTTTCTGCTCTTTATTGATACATTATTCTCATCAAGTAACCATCACGATAAGTCAATCTCGTTTCAATTTAATTTATCAGATTCTCACATGCGAAGGTTTAATTAATAATACTTTTTGGTGAACGAAATATTTCATTCATCGTTATACGTTAAATCATCATTACATAACCAACGATCACCTCTTTCGATGAAAAAAAATAACTATTACAGACCCTTTTTGGAGTTATGCCTGGGTTTTATTGACGTTTTTATTTTAAATTAATAAATAGCGGTCGAAAAATTTTACGCGCTAGTTAAGTAAGTGTCTATTCACTTTTATACTTTTAAAGGCCTCATGTCATCCACTTGATTTACACTTTGAACGTTACGCGAATAACTACAAAATTTACTAATATTCGCACAATAATAGATCCCTGTTGCATTTTAATAGCAAACAAGACGTTGAACATTTAAATAGCGCAAATAATACAATTACCAGTATGTGTCAGATGCTGTTTTTTTCCTAAAATATGAGAAACGAATTTCATAATTAAATTAGAAGGCGTGATATACAAGAGACGAGGAGCACGGAGAGACTTCGCGATTAGAATATATAATGTACTGTTTGTGAAAAATACGCTCCCATTACGGTGACTACTTGTATCTAATCCTACGTGGCGCGCCTTTGTAATGGATCCGCGTTAGCTCAATGATTGGAATTGTGTGTTGACACGTAATAAGCGAGAGTAAAAGAATTGACATCTTCTTTATTATCGTATCCGATAGAGAAAAAACGTAAAGTATTACCTAAGTTGACAAAGCTAATCAATAAGAAGGTAGGTTGGTAGGTACCAATTAACTGTCAAATAGTTGACAATTGCGGCCTGGAGAACTAATTTTAGTCTTCTTTCTCATCCCACCCTTTTCATACAGGGAAAGAATGTGAAGGGGAAAGGAAATTGATGGAGAAGGAGACGTATAAGAAGGATATATATTTTTTGTGTTCGTGTTTCTCCTCCTCCATCGATTAAAGGTAGACGGCTGCAATTGCGAATGTTAATTAATTTTGTTTTTATATCGGACGTTAAAGCAACTTATACTTAAAATTTAGAAACTATTAGCGTTCTTGCTTAATATGAATATCAGGAGGACCTTTGGACTATATTTTATTTATACGTTTAAATAAAAATATACGTAATATTTGCAGTACTTCATAAAAGTAACTCATGATAAGGAAAGTTTGCCGTATACACGTGTTAACATTAAACTCCTGTAGCGCGATCTTAAAGAAGAAGTTATGTTATGTTAGATAACATCTCTTTGATAACAAACTTTGCAAAGTTCACTTTTTACTGCAACTCGTTTTATATCACCGTACTACAAATTGCTTATAGAGATTCTAAAAATTGTAAACAATTAAAGCAGATAAACATTTTTGCAAAACCCTTTATAATATTTTATATTTTTACTACAATTTTTTTAATTATCTATTATATGTAAAAGGTTCGTAAATTAGGCAGTCTATAAATATAACGTCTTACCGTTGGCTTCCGAGACCATAATCCAGCTTAAAACATATTGTTGTCTCTGTTTTGCCAATGATAATGACAGAAATGACGATATTTTTTATACAGAGGTTTTCAGAAACCAAAGTTTAGTAAAGAATCGAATTTAGTATTGTGTAAGTTACAGCTTACAATAAATTGCATAATAGACAAAACTTTAGCTAGAGAAACGTTAAGTAAACAAATTTATTCTTTCCTAGAGTACTGTCTTATATTTAGTCTAGTTGCAGTAAGAAGCTTAAAGAAATCCGCTTTAGAAATGTAATAAACTTCACAAACCAGCTAAACATAAAGTAACTTATATCTTCTATAATACACACCACTCGAAGCTCTGCCGCCTCTGGAAAAAAACAGTGGATTTTCCTCAGCGGCACTTTAATTGAATTCGCTTTGGCTCACTTTTAATTTATTTACGTTTCCCCGTTTGATGTCGACTCGCGTCGCCATGTTTTAAGATAAATAAGCAATTATCCCGATTCAATTTAATCCCGGCCGACGGCGGTGTGCGATTTGGAATTTAAAATGTATATTACTGGCGTTCGCGGTGGCTTAATAGGCGGTTGTAGTTCCCACAGTTCGATACCATACACACGTGCGCTCTACTCGTAATCATGTTTAATTGAGACTGAAATTGTTTCAATTCGATGTTAAATTGTGCACGGTGTCTTTTGTTCTAATCTCACTAACTAAACGTTCTGTCAAGTCATATGGTATATTAAAGACACGGTTAATATAAATTCAAAAGCCACTTTAATTCCAGAAGTGAAACATTTTGTGGATGGCTATTGAAAAGTTGTTACTGATGAATAAACATCATGGAACTAATCATCGGTTTCTGAGACCAAAACTCTTGTATAAAACATACCGTTAATCTTCTCCCAATATCTTTGACAAAACAATGATAACAATATGTTTTAAACGGGGATTTTTGTCTCAGAAACAAACGGTAAATAGTATAAAGACAGAATATTTTATAGTATTTCATTATTTTAGAATACACAAAAACAAAATTATACAGTAAAAATGGTAAGTATACAGGGAAATGATTAATTAAAACCGTAAAGTACATTATACTCTTCATGGAATATTAAAACACCTATACACACAAGATAATGAATGTTTTCGCAATAAGGCTGCATTACGCGAGAATGCAAATTTCGAGAGTAATAACGAACAAATTAATTTATTCACGAACTAGTTGGTGTACTGTATCTTTATTGACTTACAGCGCAATATCTACGGGCCGGGACCGTTTCGATTCTGATTAAAACGCGCGTACATCTGTACGATCCACGAGCCACGTGCCATGAGCTTTGCAAACATACGAAGATCCTCATCGAGGCGGATTCGCAACACATACCTAATAGGCTTCGCGATTACGCCGACAGGGCGCGCCCCCACTAACCCAATTTGTGCAAAACGACCGAGTAAACATACTTCGATTGTACGCTTCACGAAGATTTATTGCACGATCGTAAAATACTGTATGTACTCTATGTGAAAATTCCCAAATTGATTGGAGTGGAGCACATATTGCTAGAGTCCCTTGTGTCAAGTTTATTTGCTTTTATATTGTTATCGAACTATAGGATATTTGGAAAAGTATGCGACTTTTTTGATAAAGTCTTGATTTTAGCTTTTGAGAGTAGAACGGCTTCCACTCAGATTGAAAAGAAATGAGTTTTTAAGAACTGAAAGAAAAGAAAAATGAAAATATACATATATCAATAAATAGTTGATAGATATGGGTCAAATATAACATACCACTGAAACTTGTACCGGATACAGATGAAAATATTCAGCGAAAGTGCTTCGCGTTTACTATTATGGTGCATCTGTTGCAGCTGCGACAAACCTACCGTAAGGACAACTAGCTGCATTTACCCTTTCTGATATAGACCATTAGTCACAATTATTGTGCAGCTTCAGTTATGTCGCAGGGTACCAATTGTAATAAATCCTAGAAATAAATACGTCGTAATCGGCTCAGCTCGGAATTTTTCCTTCGCCTACAAATTCAAAATAGCAAATAATATCCTTTTAGTCACAATACCTTTTTATGTCAATAAACAAACGTTCCGAATTGGAATGTAATACTCAAAGCATTTTAATAAAGCAAATAGGTCAAGAGAAATATATAAGTATCCAAAGAGAGCTAACTCGCGTACAATCAAATTGCGACCCAAATTCGTTTACGATAAAAACTTGCTGCCGTAGTTTATAGTGCTTTTGTATTCTGATGAGTACCTCACTTGTTAAAGTTTTCACATTCTCAGTACCGACCATCTACCTAGTATAAATTTACAACATTTTCTGAAACCCACTATTCCTCGTATAGAAATAAAATGTATTGATAATCAATTGTAAAACAATACTGAGATTATCTTTATGATTGGCAGATCGTAATAGTAAGACAGGAGTGAGTATAGCTTCGGAAAAGTGGTAGGTTAATGCCATCTCTATTTCTTTTATAAGAAGCGAGGGAGACTAATATATTAGGATAAATAGACTCTTCTGTCGTAGCCTCTTGGTAGTTTGTACCATACGTATTTGAGATATCTCTCGTAGTTCGAAATCAGAGACAAAGGACCTTAATTTAAGTGATTACAGTTACAAACTACTAACAGTCTCGCTTGCGACCGCTCCTCACTCTAACTAGCCGATTGTCGTCCAGTCTTAGAAGAAAAGCCTGTAATTTACTTAATTTGTAACTGAAGTGTAATAAATATTAACGTTAAAGTTATATTTAAGTGTAAAAATATTACGTGCAAGTTTTTTTAATAGAAAGATGTTTTTTTTAATCGTGTCAACAACTAAATGCAATTAAGTTGTTTTGTTGGCAAACACAGTTGATCAGTAGTGATAGTCTGATGATGATGCTAATGATGATGGTGACGATGTTTTCAGCGGTGTGGAGGCCTGGGGCTCCAGCGCCGAGCGTGTCACCGGGCGCGCCGGTCTCGGCGGCTGCGGCAGTGTCACCGGGCGCGGCAGCGGCCAGCTCCGCGCCGCCCCCGCCGCCGCCCCCCGTGTGGTCCCCCGCCGCTTCTCCGCAGGCCCCGCGCAAACCCTTCCGACCTGTACACTTTGAAGACACGCCGCCTGCGCGTAGGAAATTTGTAGTGAGTTTACCAACTAAATAAAACTGTGTTAGAAATAATCTTGATTGTGAATTTCACTATGTCTATTTTTTGGACCTATCTAAATAATAATAACTAGGGTTTGAGAAAAATGGAGAGTAATTAGAGGCCAGTTCAGGTTGCTACATCACTAGTTAGTACCTAATTGTAACACATTGCACTGCATTTTTGTAGAACACGGAGCAAAACGGGTGCACGAGCGGGTCAGAGAGCGAGGGTCGGCTGCGCACTTCCCTGAGCGCGCCCGCCGCCGGCCTTAGTGCGCTGGGCGCTACTAGCCGACTGCCCAGGGTGCAGAATCCTACGGTCACATTACTGCAGAAAGCCAGAGGTAACTAATTAGTCATTTATACAGTAAACCGGTCTGTAATATTAGACTGAAACAAGGGTGAGAAATATGCAAATACAATGATTTACTGGAATGAAAATCGATCAAATCAATTCCTTGTAAAACTTTCTAACCCTTTGTTTCTGTGAACAAAATCTCTGTATAAAACTTATCATCCCTGTTCCTTGACAAAACAGTGATATGTTTCAAATCGTGATTGTGGTCTCTGAAACCCACGGTAAGTCTGATTTAAGTCATCTGAATGTTACAAACTTCACTTGTTAATTATGTTGTTATTACACAGAAATAGTTACTACTAAGATCTGTTTTCTTTGACTAAATATATAAATGTAGAATATGCAGTTATAAATAAATACTATTAATATATATCGCATTAAAATTTAAAACAGTTAAATAACTGTCAAGGTTTCGATAAGAATTTCCGCCTCACGCGACTCTAGAATCTTAAAATTCGCGAATTCTTAACACAAGTATGCTTAATATTTACGAGAGGCGACGTTTAGTGTTATCTTTATTGTATGTGAAGGTCGGCCTCTTCACATCTCGCTACGAAAATGTATACATCGGCTAAACTACCGTTTGTATAAGCATTTATAGACCTTGTCTATTCAATTTCGATGTTTATGATCTCAGTGAGAATAGATCTTGCTAAAGTAACGATAATATTCTGTGAATATTGTCTTTAACGATAAGTTAATCCTTTTGAATTAAAGGTAACTGTTTTCTTACATAAATATAAAAAATAATCTATATTTCTACGATGAACGCATTAAAAGAAACTGCAAAGCATTCGAAATTTTGTAAATTGCGTTCTGACATTCTTCGATCCCTAAAAGTAGTAATACCATAAAAACTATGTAACAGTATTACAAATAAAATCCTGTATTAAGTTATGTCAGTCACCAAAGATTCAATTTTGAATATAATTTCCTTATAACGTTCAAGGCATTCGGGCATAACGAAAAACAAAAGAAACAATGTTTCAATAAGATCTGACATGGGTCCGACAGATTTTTATACACAAGTGCAAATGACAGTCAAGAAGCCAGCTGTTGGTATAAAAATTTGAATAAGCTTTGACCCAGGAATATCACACTACGTTATTTATCTTAAATATATGTTTACATTTATAAAACTAAACGTACTCAGACAGAGAATATTACTTTAATTATTACGCACAATTTTTCCTTCTTTTCAGAAAATCATTTATCACGAGCATCCAACATCCAAGAGAGAGATCCACGACTCCCTAGGGACAGGCCCAGTCCACCAATTGGCGACCCAGGCAAGTAACAATTATTTTAACTTTTACAAACTAAATTACTCATTTGTTTGTCAGACAAAAACCTATTGAAAACTAATAAAAATTTAAATTTAGAACTAATAAGTTTTGTTGTCTGTTGAAATTCTTTGAACTAATAGAATATATATTTTATTCCAGTACATGCGTTGCGCAAAGGTTATCTCAGCGAAGGCGAGGCGGACCGAAGGGAGTACGTTCACACCGGCAGTCGTAAGATGGCCGATGCCAACAGGAAAGTAGAAGGAATCGGTCCCACTACTAAAGAAGGAATGCCAGTCGCACTTAGATCTGTAAGTTTTGAAAAGTCTAATAACCTAAACAAACTTTATAGCAAAAGTGAACATAGAAAATTTTGCTAATTAATTTTTATAGGGAATATTGAAATTACAAAGGAGAAAATAATTAACTTCCACAAATCTAACCATATAACAGACTTTTAAACTTATATGTTTAAATAGTGATGATATTATTTATATATTTTTATTTATTTCTAGGAGGTCAAAGACCCTTCGAGATGGTACAAGAAAATGTACGACACGATCCACAAAAATAAATACGACGGTAAGAAAACTGTTTATTTTTATTAATTTAGGCTTAAATGTAAATTATAGGCATTATATATAGTATTGCACAAATATTTTAAAATTTTCTTTTTCAGACGATTATGTGACTATTCGATACAAAAATCGTCAAGGTGACTATCGCTGTTTTTTTTTCCAAATTTTGTTTGCTTGCTTCATGTCATACTTTGCCGCTTGAAATGTCATAGTAACAACTGATTATTCCTCTGTCTTCCGGCTGAACTTAAAAATCTTCTAAATCGGTACGTTTTACAGTACGGTACGGTACGACCAATGTATTTATTAACATTTTAATATATTTTTGTTAATTAAACAGTCGTACTGGCCTTTTCACGTGAACAAAAACAAACGACAACAAGAACAGATTTACAAAATCTTTGAGCGCCTGACAACCGATAATAGCAAATTGGTCATGATTTCAAAATTACTCATAATTCTTTCGTTTTAGTAATATAAAAAATTGAATGCTTATTTAACTATAATAAAAACCAATAACCGTTAATAAGTATAGTAATGAGGTTGTGTTCATTTAAATTAATTTAATATTAATATCTTTTAAATATATATATTATATTTTTTTTAACACAAACCAACAAATAAGAATACATCACCATCATACCACCGATATGTGGACTTTGTCGGCATTTCTTGTGTTGTGTAATCTGTCAGCTTGTGAATTGCACGAACTATACATAATTCCTTTTCCATTCAATTCTAACCTACAATTTTCATATTAAGAGCAAAATATTCCATTATTGACTACTTGACTTTGATAATTTAAAACTTAACAAAAAGTCGTTTAAAACCGTAATTGATTCGTCCAGATCACTACCCATTTTGATTACTAACTGACAAAGGACACAATCGCCATATAGCCAGTAATAAATTCTGTGTCCAGGTCAACCGCCGCTACGTGTGTCAAGCAGCAGATCTCAATACGCGTACTTCGACCCGCGCTCAGGCTACTTGAGCGAGCCGGAGGGCGGACTGGGCCGGTTGAGCGCATGCGACGCGTACGACAGTGACGTCACCACCGGCCACCGGAGACGAACCGCCTCCGTGCAGGAAGACAGGAGGGACGACTTCGTATATCTACCAAACAATAAGTCAGTACAATAACATATAATATAAAAAACAATATGGTCAATGAAAATTTCAAGCGAAATCCTGCCTAATATTTGGGTTTCGACGGAGCATCAAGGGATGTAAGAGGCATCAAAAAAATAAAATTTCAAATCGTCAAATCAAATAGAAATACCTTTTTAGGTTAACGCCTAAACTATCTATAAACATTCATTTCATTAAAAAAAACAAAACGCTAATTAAATTTAGTTGCTTAACCATACCAAACACTTATTAGAAATCTTGAAAAAAAATCTTCACTATGCATAAAACTTTGCAACAAGGTTATATAGTTATTTTGATCACTTTGGAATAATTGAGTTTTAATGTCAAAGCAGTGACGATCGTCAGAAGAATTGCATTACTATTCTCTTCATCATTCTTCAAATAACACAAACCACAATATTTACATTCACGTAGTTATTATAACAGCATTGTGTTAGAACAATTCATTAACAAGTTTTTTATTATCTCCGTAATCATTAACGTTGTAATGTGTTCTCTAATACAGTTTAACATTATTCCTACTTTTAATTTCCATGTATTTCTTAAAGTTTTTTTAATTCTGTAATTTTTGAATAAAGTTTCAATCTGGGGTCCATAATAATTCTGCAAGCGGTGTATTTAGTAGGCGTGTTTTGTGTATTTTAATAGAAAACTAAACAGCTTTTATCGTAGTATAAAACTCAAGTTTTTAATGCGCGTTTTAGGTATAGTACATTAGCATCAGCTAGAGCTAGTCAAGAAGTTTACAAAAATCAACCAGGAAGAATAGAAAACTACGTGCCCGGAAAATCATCTGTCGTCGACAAGGAAGCAAAGCAGGTAAAAGATCATTTCATACGACGATCAAGTTTACGACTAACTCATTTCATATTAATACGGTTGGCAGTAACATTTTGTTCATCGCATATCATTCTGGACAGACCATCTCTAAGAGTTTCCCACATTAACAGCTCGTTCCTTTAAAAAACACGCTGAAATATCTTGAGCAACAAGATTTTTTTTCTTTTCTAGTGGTGGGACGAGGTCATGGACATTTTTGATGGGGTACGAATTTTTTTTTAGTATTATTATGTGTCTCTTCTTCGTGTAAATAATTTTACTTCTCTTCTTCTGCTTACTAAACTACTGAATGTTGTCTGCGGGAAGTTCTAAATTCTTTTTCAGGCTATACAATAACTAATTTCTGCTTTTAAATAATCTATGTGATATGTCTTAAGCTTTTTATATAAGCAGTAACAATATCTTATTGATTGACGTGATAACGATTTTCCCTTATGTGGTGGTCGGTGGTGGGCTAACAGTGGTTAGACGACAATTCTCCCCTGCCTCCTTACACCACGTTGCTGGCACGGGCTATCCAGAAAAGTGTAAGACTCTGAACATGTCTGCCTGTGTCTATATAGCCAACTACGAGTACAATTTGTATTTATTACGCTGGTAGAATGTTTCGTTTTCGTTTGTCTGGTAGATTAAGTTAAAATTTTATTTTAAGGAAAAATTAAAATTAAGAATATAGGCTTATCAAAGGAATTTATTAGTTAATGTAACGTAAGCCAGTAAAGGGAGATGTAGATTTTCATCTACGTTCACTAGATTTTTATCTGAACCGTAACTCAAATTTAAAGTACTAAAAACACTAAAAACGATTCAATCCTTTACAGATTTATTTTGATCAATAATTAATCATAATCATCCACATTCGTTTAATGGGGTGTCATAAAATATTAACAAATAATCGAATTAAAACTTTATAATATAACTTTATAAAACTTAATATTAACATTGACTTATTCATCGAAAGGTTATAGGTAAAAAAATATCGATTTAGTAAATCGTAAATTTACGACAAAATGTTTATTATTTTTAAATGTGTTAAGTAAACGCTTTTATGTTCTTCTGTTTGATGTGCTTTAGTAGATATATGCTTTAAATGTGTTTGTGGTTTACAGTTAATCTTCTACTCTATAATACTGTTTCAATAAATGAATAAATGTTATTTAAAAAATATTAAAATTACTGTATTTAATTCAATAAAAGAGTTGTAAATTCAAAATTTACTTTTTTCTTGTTAAATAATTTACTTGTGATTATTTTTTCCTTGATTTACTTAAGACTAAGTTTAAAAAGCATGTCTACACAATGCAATTAGTCGTATTAGTTTAACGTCTTTTTTTCTCACAAAAGTTATTGCGATATATCAGCATGTTATTTCAGAGATGTGTATAGCACTAATACACACATTTACATTGCACTTTGCTAGTGAATTCATTTTCTTATACTCACTTTAATAAAGAAAACTTTTGCAGCAAAATATTTCAAGTACCACCTCTCTGCCGCAAACATCGCCAAAGGAAAAGAAAGACGTTACATCAACGATATTGTCGAAATCTAACATGGCTAGGTAAGTACCAAGATTATAGGCAAATATCATATTATATTATATAATAGGCAAAGATATAAATCGAAAAAGTGAAACGAAAAAATATACGCTTAGAAATATTAAAATCTTAGTAATAATATGAAAATATTCTTATAAATATAAGATAGTTATTATGATGATGACTCTTATGATCCTTAAATAAAGTATCAAAACACTTTAAGGAGGATGTCGAAATCACTGAACTAACAGTAGCTAGATATCCGTTGAATTCCTCCAGGAATATTGATAGCACATACTCTACCAAATACACCTTAGCAAGGACAATTGTCTCATTGTGTTATATGTATAGGGCTCTGAAGGAATCTGGCTATGAATCAGATTCCACACTAATTTTCCGACGTCGGGAGGAGACCGATACTCCGCTGTCTCCTGCGGAGAGGCGAGCCGCCTACAAAGACTTGCAGGCCGGCGGCGAACCACCACTCAGAGGGTTCCGCTCCCCGGCACCGCCTAGGCAAGGTAAATACTATATCAGAAAATATTTCCTCTTTAAAACAAAAGAAATTGATTGTAAAAGTTACCTTTCAATAAAATATTTTTGTAAATTTTTCTAGATTATTTTTGTATTAATTCTATAAATAACCATGTTGGAGTTATACCAATTTTATTTGTATTTTAAGTCTATTTTAATAATTATTTGATATTGAAATATAACAAATGTACTAGCTTAAATAATGCGTGTTCTTATTACTAATTTAACAATAGATTAAGAATTTTACAACTAAATTAACATAAGCATGGTTTTAACTACTTTGGTATCGGTAACTAAAACAAATTGTAACGTTTTTTTAATCTTTTATGAGATAAAACGCGATAGACGTATATTTGAACAATAAACTAGACTATTCAAATAAATCCCCGACAAGGTCAATGCATTTCTATATCATTACATGGGTACTGTCATATGGACGTTTGTTCAACAAGGTCGCGTTATAGTCTTGCGAAACAACAACTACATTTTATAGCATAACTCAGATGCGGTAAGTTGATGTTAATATTTTTGCATGAATACTCATAACAAAATAATACTAACAAGGTGCTGGGAACTTCTGTCAACACAAAAGGTAACAAATAATGTATTTAATGCATGGAAATAATAAACTCCAAATTTAAACACGCAATATATAATTTCACAACGTTAAAAAAAAGCACATTAGTAGAACTAAATCAAGTGTAGGCTTTTACACGCGTTAGAGGTAAGAGAAGCACAAGAAGCACGTGTTGCTCACGGCTAACGAAATTGAAACAACGAAATAGGTTTAATTGTAAAACGTCGATTGAAATTTCACAGATGATTCGGAAATCGAATATATTCCGATCTCCTCCACTCTAACGAAGATTCGAGTTCACAAAAAAACACCACATGTACATGAAATCGTCTGCTATCCATTAACAAACATACAATCTAGTGAAATAAACGATACTTCGAACAAGATTTTCAAATTAGACAGACCAGACTTAACGAGAGATTTCCCCCCAGCGCCGCCAAGAAGAATATCTTCGAAAAATAGCAAGACTCTAAAATTTGTAACTTCATCGAGACATTCTTCAATATCACCTATTAGAACAACAGTAGAAGATTCAAATGTAAATTTTCTTAAAAACAAACTAAATAATAAATTAAACAGACAAAATACACATGTCATTTTAAAAAAGGATACTAAAATGAGCTCAAATAAATTGAGTAAATGTCGGGAATTGTCTACTTCAGCTCCACCGTCGGTTAATAGAAAAGATTTAAGTTCATCTACGTCTATATCTAAAAGGAATACCGTTGAGAGAGGAACTAGCAGTTTTAGTTCGCCTAGGAGAACCTTGCAGCCGACGGAATACTCTACTCAAAATAAACCTGGCGATTCGAATACTTCAGTCGTAATAGAAAATGGGGCTGGACGAAGAACACCGATTTCTAATATATTAGATAAAGTTACGTCTTTAGATAAACTATGGAGCTCTCAAAAAAGAAATGAAAGGATAGACGTAACAAAATACAAAGAACGATCAATGAATAAAATTTCTATTGCAACTACTAGTAGGCCGAGCACAAGTAAAACTTCGTCATGTCTGGACGCTAAAACTTTACCTAGAAATGTCACTCACAAAAGCAGGGATATGGTTCGAACTTCAGAAAAAATACAAAAACTGAAAAGTTCTAATACATTACCTAAACCAAATTTTCCACTTACTTATAAAAGTGCAACGACCAAATCTTCCAGATTGGGATCCTTACAAGCTACGTCTAACATTTCAAAGTCAACTTCAAATATTCCGTCTAACACGAAAAAAGTAAACAACATACGAACAGCTGTTGTGACAAATCTTAAAAAGAAGAAATCGTTAGAAAGTGTTGTTATAAGACCAAGAAGTGTGCCTTGCCATGAAACATGTAATAAAAAAACGAAATATCCTGTGTTGAAAAAAGAATCAGTAAAATCAAAAACGAGCGATACATCGTTAGTTGCCGAATTAGCAGAAAACCAATTTAAAACTTATGGACAAGAAGGTTTTGATTATAGTTCTCCAAAGGACATAACTCGTAAACAAATAAACCCTAAGGATTTGAAAGAAACACGCGAGTCTGTTCTTTCGGATTCTTTTTTTCGACATCTTTTTCTAGGATCAACACCTGTTCCTGCTAATTCTATAGCAGAACAAAGTCTACTGAATTCAGTTCAAGAAAAAGCAAAACATTTTCAATCTCTTCCACAAACAATAACTCCTAATACATCTAATAAATTTAATTCATACTTAATACATAGAAAACCCGTTTCACTTTCTCGTTTTAAGGCTTGGGATAAAAATTCAAGTCCCACCCGTACTTATAATGCACGATCAGTATCATGGCCTGGCAAAATGGATGGAGAAATACGGAAATTCCAAAGCTTATCAAAACCTGATGGATTCGGATCAATGTCCTCGCTATCGACAATTCGTAGCAAAAGCGAGCCACCAACTAATAAGATATATTTTTCTCAAACATCTAGGCCCGTTTCTCCTAGCATCGTTTTCTACAAAAAAACCGAAATAGAGAGAAAATCTGTCTCACCTTCGAAAATAATTTATTTACAACCAAGATCAACATCTCCTTACAGCATACATAAAACACCACATGTAAAGTTTTCGTCTGAGGAAACATCGAAAAAATTACAAAAACCAATAAAAACAATTCAATCTGAAAATGATGACACTCCCAATACAATTTCCTTTTCACAAAAGTCAAGGCCAGTATCGCCTAAAGTTAAAAACACATCTTCGAAGAGTAGAAGTCAATCAACTTCACCCGTTTCATTCAGGTCCCCGTCGTATCGCCGAATACATAATGCCCGAGTACAAAGTCGGCAGCTTAGTGAATTGTGTAGAAAGGAAAATAGGACAAAAAGTGCCGATAGTTTAGAAATTAATAAATATCGTAAAAATGATACAATAAGAGCTAAAAGTGATACAAATTTATATACCAATGATCCTGATTACGATGAATACATTCAAGATATACAAAACTCAAAACTTAGATCGGAAAGATTTCGAGAACTAAACAGGTATTATGCTTATTTGGAACGAGTTGCTGAGCTTGAAAAGGCAACGTCGACTTGTGACTTACGACATAGAAAGAAAGACGAAGAAATTATAGATTTCGATCGCTGGAAAAAAATAAGAGCAATAGAAAGGGCAGAAGAGGAATTAAACAATCTTTATCATAAATTAAAAGTTGCCCAAAGTGAAAATAGTATTCTATTTTATCCTAAGGATCTAAATGATTTCCGATGGAACTCTGGCAAAGAGAGAGGGCTTAGAGTTAAAGAAAAATCGGTGGAAGATCTAAAAGAAGAGTTTCAACAGAAAACTTACCCTGAACCCTCAGAGTCTGGCCAGTTTCAAGACCGATACAAACCGCTATGGAGAGGAAAAAGTGTTGCGGAAACAGCATTTAATATTAACAAAAAAGGTGATTCTGAACAAAAAAAATCACGTATAACAAATAAGTCCATAAAATTAGTGAGCCAAGATACTTCTTTTAGTGAACTTCAAAAAAAACTCGGCCTTAAGAATCATTTATGGAGTAGTTTGTCAATGGATCAAGTAAATGCGTTAAAGAATCAATTAAATGCAATTTATAGCAAAGAATTAGAAACAAAAACAAATAAAGAACATGACAAGTACACAGTTGAAATAAAAGATACAAATAATATAAATAAACCAGCACTACATGTCAGATGCAACTCTTTAATTACATCACCGACTACCGCAGGACACGGGCACGACTTAAGCAAATCTGATTCTATAGCGGCAATCGCTTATACTAGATCATCTGAAAAAGATATGAAAAACAATGTTAACAAACAAATGAGTTTAAGTGAAATTGAAAAAAAGAAAATATCGCAGTCTTTAAGTAAAGAAGTCTTAAATAGAATAAATAAAAATGAAAAATCAGAAATCAAACCTTTAGAAATAAAACAAATTAGTACTAAAGAAAGTGACAATACCTTAATAAAAAATAAAAATGAGGTGAAATCAAGATCTGATTTAGAAACCAATTTGTCCAGCCTTATAACTAGAGATATTGAGGATAAAAGAAAAAGACACATAGTATTTCCAATCGCTAATACAGAAACTACTTATCATTCTTCCACAAGCGAGACAGAAACTGGTAGTTCAGATATCTCGAATAAAACCGCAATTTACAAAGGACCTAGTAAAGAAGTTTTAAAAAAAGTAGAATATTTTGAATCTGTTACCAGTATAACAAAACCCAATGTTATTTATAGCTCGAGAGAAAACTCTGAGGAAGCTACAAGTCTATTGAAAGTTAACTCTTATTGTCGTGATATTAAGGCAGACCAAAAACCTCTATCTCAATCACAGTCTTGCACAAATATTAAGGAGCTCTTTGGTGAAAGCGAAAAAAACAAATTTTTGTCATTACCCTCCCAACCCGACCTACATTCGAGATCGCCCTCACCATATTCGGAAGTATGCATTAGCGATCGACATACACCTGACACGCTACGATATTCCAGCGACGAGGCCATGTGGCGCAGTCGGACTCCATCGCCCGATCCGGAGCGGTACTGGCGGGCTTACATAAAGCTGGCGCGCGCGGGGGAGGTGCGCCGCCTCGCCCGACGGTTCGACTCGCCCTCGGCGGCCGGCGCTGTACTACGACGACATCGGAGCGATCCCGAAATCGCGCGTAATGTCCTCAACATTAACTGGTCTAGTACAGAAAAAAACTCACCTCAACGGGAAAGATGTAGAGCCATACTGCCAGTAGCGAGAATTCCGCTCCGCCCTACGAACCGATTTATGCCCCACATTGATGTCATTTCAAAGTTAGCAGCGTTGCGCAAACGTACTTCACCTCGGTCCAGATCTGCGGAAGAGGCTTTGGAATGTCGTCCAGGTGAAGTGGAACGAATAAGAAAACGTTTTGAGGCGATGTCACTTCTGGGCCCGATATATTCTTCGGCGCCCGACGTTCGCGAGCTACACGATATAGCACCGTATTTGGCGGGCTCGTGGATCGCGCATCGTTACCCGAAGCCCAGCGATAACAACAGGTCGATTCCGAATACTGAAACGCTCATTAATGGTCGCAAATCCCCCATAAAAAAGGAACCAAAACTCGCGATGACTAAAGATTCAGTGAAACTTAGCTCTATTTTAAAGTGCGATCACTTAGCTAAACAAGAGTTTGACCCCGCGGCACATCGGCCGGCTAGTCGCTATGAGCCCCCGCGAGCACCACCGCGGCCTCCGCCCGCCGCCTGGCCCCAGCGCCTCGCGCCCTTTGTCACCGCCTCGCGACACACCGTTACATTTCAAGGTTATTAACTGAACTTTACGCTTCATTTCTTTTAAATACTTTGGTTGTTTAAAATTGGAGTTTTATTTTTTCATTTGTTATTAATTTTTAATACTTTTTTTACAACTCAACATAACAAAAATATGTGTTCTATGTTTGATTTTATCTTGTTAATACCAGTTTGTTAAAATATTTTAATTATCATTTCATGAATGATTTCATTAGTTTATTATTTTTTTATGCTTTTCACCCTTTTTTGTTAATCCCGTTAGAGAACGATTCAGCCCCGGAGCCACCGCGCAGAGTAACGCACGGGAGCTATTCAGATACAGGCAAGTATTGATATTGCATTTATTTATTTCCCTGAATAGTCTATAAGTCAAATGTTTCTTCCTGTCATCATCTTCACAATCGCAATATATTTGTTTCATTACATGAGCACTCAACCAACAACATTTTATTAAATAATTCTACGAAGTTCTACTTTCCATCAGATAATAACTTAGATCTCAACGCTGCGGATATAACTTAACAGCCTGTGCGAAAAAGAAAACAATAGCCTTTGTTTTATACTTCCACCATCAAGTAACCAAAAAGTTATTCGTCTGACCGTAGCTAGCACGTGTAGTCTCAATTTGAGCATACGAAATACGTCGTGCTATTATCAATCCGCGATAATTTGCTCTCGACACTATATTTGCGTCATTGATATTACCTCGGCTAAAACCTGTTCGTTCAGTTTTTTATTCGTAAATAGTTCGCCGAGCTTCCTGTTCACGAGCGGTTTGTTGTTGCGTTTATTTTGTTACAAAGAAGCCATTGGTATTGACAAGTTTTATCTTAAGTGTTTAGCGATAACAAAATATCAAGCTTATCGCCACATCAGTTTTACGCGAACCGTCGTGAAGTGAATTACGGTCATGGTGATCTAGTTATTAAAATAAATTCTTTCAAAATGAATGAAGTGTATAGAAGTGATTACGGAAACAAAATTAACGAAGGTAGTTCTCACACCAACTACGACGATGACGGATTCTTTAGTGACGTGCCTATATCAGGATCTCTATCTAAATCTTTACTTGCATTAAACAAGTATGTGAAGAAGAATTTACTCTACGATGATAGTGAAGAAGCAAACGATGATTCCGCATACTTCTCAAAAGAGACCAGCCCAAATAAATCCACCTTAAAAAGTGATTCCGATAGTGGAAAAAGTATAGAATCATCTGATAAACGTATTGTATCAACACCAATCCCGGACGCGGATGTGGTGCTCAATATTATAAAGGTGCAAACGATAACTGAAATGCCTATAACGACTGAAATAAAACATACAGAACAATTAACTGATGATTACAAATTCCAAAAACTATACGAAAACTCGACTAACAATCTAACAGTTCTGGATGACCAAATCGAGGAATCTAGTAAACAGGTAATTGTTCCGACTCAAGAAATTCAAGGTATAACACAACAAGAAAACAACTCCACTTCTCTTGATGACTTAAACACGATAAATAAAACAAAAGAATATACCACAAATACTGGCCAAGTTAAATTAAGAAATAAATTGGTCAATGAAAATGACACGAAACGTCATACGATACATGACGTATCTGAATGGGTCAATAGAGCAAATATTTATCCGGATGTTTACGCGCCTCTACCATATAGTAAGTTTCAATTGTGTACCTTAAATTTTGCGAAATTAATTAAATGCACTCTCATTTGTATAATGCTTTACTTATCAGTGTCGTTACAGTAAAAAAATGTCTTAGTTTAACATATGTAATGATTATATAGTTCCTACGTAAATATAAATTTCGTTATCGTCCTTTCCTTCTTCCTTCAAAGAAAAGTCAGAACATATTCTACTTTTACATCTCTATCTGCTGTCCGATTATGTTCTAAATGAACTTTGTACATAATATAAAGTTGTAGTTGTATGTTTTGAGCGGGAGATCAACCGGTAGAGTCAAAGAAAGTGCAACTCTTAACAGACGCCAAGTGACAGACGTCGCGGACGCGCGACAACGCGCAACTCGTTACAAAGTGTTGTGTATATTTATTTGTGCTACTATTAATGTTATTAGTAACATACGTTGCACAAATTTATTTTCATTGAAGGTTAAAACTGAAATGGGCATATTGAAACAAATTAAAAAAATGACTACATACGGTTAGTTTATTTTTTATTTATATTTCCCTAATTAAAAGAACACATTTAAAATCTGTAATTAACTTTTTAATTTTAAACTTGTTCGCAAAATTTTTATTATAATAATTATTGGCTAATTGATATTTTTATGAACAATCTTTTATTAAAACCATTTTAGCACAAAATAAATATGTAACTCTTTTCTATATGCTATACCTCTCTTAATTTGTAAAAATTAAGTTACATACAAACTGACATAATTAATTTTATACATAAAATAATGTGCAAATTATACATTTTACACACTTCTTCACATTTGCATAAGAAATTCTTATATAATTTTAATTTCCTAACACTCACTATAAATAATAATTATATAATTTTCATATTTTATTGTATTTGCATATTTTTATATTTGTAGAACGATTATAGAGTCAATTATAATTTAAATGGACTATTATTTAATAAATAGTATTTTTTCTGTTTTTCTGTTCAATATTTAAGTGTATATCCTTTGACCACATGGGACAAACAGATATAAACTTAAAAACTAACTTAACTTAAATTTACTCTGAATAAAGGCTGATTATTATTATTTTTTCTGCAAAATAAATTGTTCAGATCTTTCTTCCGGTATTCATTACAACATATTTATATCAAAAGTATAAACAAAACTTATCTAACAAAATTAAAAGTAATATAATAAGTCACTTAAGACACTTTCAATTTTACACAAAAACTCATAGTTCTATTTTAATAAGCGTATAAATTCAAGTTATACAAACCCAAAAAGATTTGTTAGTTGAATTTGTAATTAACCAACTTCAGATAAGGTATATTTTAGGTTGTTTATGAAGAGCTCGAGAGCTAAGTATCTATGGTATGCTCAGTATGAAGTAGCATTGCGTGAAGCGTGCCGAGAATGCCTATTTGTTGTGAAAGTTGGCTGACAACCAACGAAATGCTAAAAAGGGCTTTCGTTTTCGTAAAGCCTTCGCGGCCCGCCTGTCACAATTATGCCGGTATCGCGTTTTTTAGATCTCACGTGTCTTGTTTACAAATGTTCGCATTAAAATAATCAGAATTTTGATATCTTGTCTATTTTGTAAACAACTTGAACCTATTCATTTTCTATTTACCTTTTATTTACATAATATCTTCCATCTCTTTCATGTAACGGAATATGTATATGACGTTATACAGAGTTTATCGAATCCAATGTAAACAATAAACATATGAATAATAAAACAACATTCGGATTCCATAACAAGATTTGTTCCAAATACTTTTTGTTCGTCATATTAATTCATCATACTATTTGTGATGCACCGAGTTCGAATGTCGGACAACATAAAAATATAATTTACTCTAACTAGACATACGTATAGGTCCATTAAACAAGTAGGTTGAGACATTTACAATGTCTCTGATGGAGATCATTTTGATAATAATATAAAGAGTAAAAATACGACTATAAATTCGTAGTCGGTTTATTATTACATCATTCTAATTCAGTTGTGCGGAACGACCAGCTAAAGCAATGAATAGACGAAATCAGCATATCATTCTTTATTATTACTTCCTTCCGTACTGTTAACAGTATATCAATAAAGTATGTTGTGAAATTAATTTTTACATTTAACGACCATTAACTTTCTATATAGTTATTTTTATCTGCTGCCTTTCTTTGAAGAATTTTAAAGTACGTCAACCACAATAATTCAAAAACTAATTTTATTCATAATAACTTTTATTTATTACTATGGTACAATAGCATAGTATGTAAATACGAACACGCAACTACAGATCCACGAAGCCCTCGTATGTTAAAGTTAAGTAGATAGCTACAATCCTCTTATACGGAAAGAAATAAAACAATTATCATTGCCAACATAACATAATATAAAAGAGTCAGTACTATAGGTACTCAAATATCAAACTATAGTCCTACAAGTATAACTGACCCGGTGGTCATAAGTCAAATGAAATTTTGGTAGCTCACTAGCTCCCCCTTGTCAACGTCAAAAATGTGTCAAAAGATCCGTTTACTCATCTAATTTTCTATGTTCATGAAGGTTTTATGTGTTTTCTGATAGAACTAAGCCAGGCAGTAGCGTCTTTTATCGGCTCTGATAACCTTGTTTGACTATAAGTAAACTTAGTTCTTAGTCTACACCTTCTGTAATCTGGAGCATATGGATTAAATATAAGCAAAATCTTGGATCATATAGTTTCTAATATGCCTCATCATTTAATTTTATGTCCTCACTGAATTCATTTAATGCTCCTTCAGTAAATCAGACGTTTCAATATGGTACAGAACATTTGTTAATCGGAAGTAGCATAGTTTAGTTGCTGAGTCCTATGTCTACGTCTCGAGTGCAGTCAATGGAAACGACTAGTATAGTATTCAAACCGGTTCCATTCACTTCTTACAATGTTACGTCCCGTCACATAACTGACAGCCGAAACTTTAAGCCGATGATCATGTTACCGCATCGATCGTCACCATGATGCCCTCCTCATTCAAAACACTTTCACTTCGACGTTTTACGTACTATTTAATCTTTTAAACTACTATCGATTTTTACGGTTATTTTATTGTTTCCAGTTGTAACTTATAGCTTTAAGTTGATTACTTTTGCTGATACTTGACCCATTGTCTGACTGCCGAACTTCAAATAAAGGCCACTATGTACCTTAGAGTAGATTTAATCCATTTACTGGTTATTTGATTTTAATTTTACATTTTTCAAATTAAGATTTACACCATTTGTAATCACAATTGATTTGGCAAATTGATGACGTATGAAACCTAAAAACAAACTGATTACAGCCTCCACTAGATAACCTTATACTTATCGATTATCGTTTATTAACTTATCGATTGTTTAAAATTATGGTAAGCCACAGATATTTAATGAAACCGCGACTTACTCAAGACACCTTGACTGTAAAATGAGCCCCATATGTATACCACCTTGTTTTAATTCTTCTAATCCGATGATATTTGAATTGACCTATTATTCAATAGACGCAATGCATAAGCAAGAGCAAATGTTTATAATAATATCTCATTAGTTGGTATAAGTATTGTTTGAGGTATGCGCGTGCGCAAGTAAAGGGCATTGTGCGCAGAATCCCCGTCGCGGCGGTACGTGGAGGGCGACGTGAACATCCACTACAGATGCCCGGTGCGCCGCGAGCCGCTGCCGCTGGTGCCGGAGCGCGAACTGGCGCGACACCAAGCCGAGCACATGAAGCGACTCTACCGCGACCAGAAGCGACACAAATACCTACAGGTAACAATATCCCTATAGGTAACATTAAGTATTAATAACCTCTGGTAACATTATTACACTGGGTTTACGACTGCTTTGGAGTTCTAAGGCTTAAATCTCATACGTAATGCAAGCAGGTAATATAATTACCTCATAATACCCGTAGGTAACGTTCCTTGTATCTAGAGGTAACTTAATCCTAATACTATACGCGTAGTGTAACTTCTTTGTTGGTTTTTATAAATGTAATATCATTTATTTTTTTTTCATTTTAATTTTCTATTTTGCTTGTGTCTGCAAATTTTATTTTTTATATTTATAGTAATAAGTCCAGTTAAAACAGATATGGTAGATACTTAGAAAATGCTTATGAATTTTTCAATTTTAAGGCTCGGAATTCTATCATTACGTTGTTAAACGGTTTTGGATTCTATTTTAATTTAAAGTAGCTTATACCATCTCCTACAAACACGAATGTACGATTACTGCGTCACTCAAAGTTGATACTATAAAACTGTTTAATCCATTTAAGTCTTGCACGCAATGGCGGTTTGGTCGATATTTATAAAATATGTAAAGTGGATTACACCAATACACAGTACATTTTAGTGACAAGCAATGCAACATTTTTATCGATAAAATATTGAATTTTATCTTTTTTGTTGACGTCAATTGATATGGAGTATATTTTGAGATCTATAATACACTTGCATTTTTCATTCAATTTCAGTTCTTTTTGAAATGTAAATCAAAATTTTTTCACATAATTTAAAATTATTTCTTAATGATATCTGTATTCCACACATCTGCAGTATCCAAGTGGTTTGCAATATTTAAGGAATTTCATAACACATGTCACCCACCTCTACACCTATTTGAATAAAGAGATATCCTAACAAAAGAATAGAAAACAATACAAAATGGATGTTTGTTTCTGTATACAAATGAACATGGAAAACTGGCTTTTAGTTTAAAAACACGTATGGAAACACGATCTATGTAGGTGTGGTTTCACCGGCGTTAGGTTTTCCATTCAAGTTGTATTATGAGGAGGCATCAGCCTCATTTGCATAATGCCGCTGATGCGCACGCGTTTGTTTGGTTATAAAAACAAGAGAAGTCTTTTATTTGTTTCCGAAGCTACCAGTTATTTGAAAGTTAGAAAATGGCGATGGATTTTTTTTACACAAAATAGTTATTTAAGAGATTGAGAAAAGAATCTTGTGCAATATTAGTACTAATCATGTTAAGTTTTGAGCGGAATGTAAGTGAAATTGTTTACACAGCCTCCGTTTAGATGTCTCATTCGTAAGATGTTTACGGGCCCTTAAGTGAAATCGAGCAATTTCTGAGCGCCGCTAAGCCGGTACTTGCGGTTAAATGTCGCTTTTACTTTCATTACGACCACGCTCCCAATCTTATCGATGAAAACATTTAGGACAATGATTATTATATAAAGATATTAACCCAAAAATGATAATTTTAATTTTGAACATAACAGTTTATCTTATTGTCAATGGTTATGGTTACCTCGTTTTAATACATTACTATTTGGTTAAAACTACAAACCACGATATGATTAGAAACGTCTATAAATAATTATTTAAAAATCAAAACTATTGCCATAAAATAATATTGCAATATTGCACAAAATATTAAAATAAATCGACTAGCGTAATATTATTGTTTGGAATTCCTGGCGGAAATAATTACGCCACTTTATTTTGTGCAATCAAAAATCCAAAACTTTCTAATTTAACTTTGTCAAGTAACTTTTTACATTTTATGACGAAAATAAATAAAATTGTTCTTATTTCCATGTCTATTGTAATAATTATTGTCAATTAATATTATACCATTTTATGATAGTGTTATAATTAACAAACAATCTTTAATAAACCTACCGACAAAACTAAGAATCGTTAAACATAGCTTTATACACGTAGAGAAGATTTATTGAATTACAAAAAAGAGTCACGAACCAATTGAAAAACAAAGTCATTGTTATTTTCTCTGATTTCTCGTTGCCAAAATAGTACGCAATCAACGTACAGTTTTGGTAATAGATTTTGTTCACGTACGAATCCAAAATTCACTTAAAAAGTTATCTCTGAGAAAGATCACAAGTTTTATGCGAATGTTTCTGCGAACGAATACAGATCTATATTTTACATAAATATTAAGTAAATAAAAGTAAATATCAATTATAGAAATCCAATAGTGTTTACATTATTTATAAGATGTGAATTACCTTGACTCTTTAGTGGCCTGACCCCTTAAGTAAAGACGTTCTGTTCGTCCAACCGCAAGGCATTTTCTCGTATAGCAACCACAAAAACGGAACGCAACCTTCATTCAACCACATACCTTATTCATGACTAATTCATTTACATGGTTAGACTTACCTTCATTACAATATTGTCTCAGTAGTTAATCGATCATAAAAGAAAAACCATTGTTAGAAAATAGTTCAGTTTTTTGAAACAGACATTTCAAATTCAGTGAGTTTGATTAAATTTTTCAGGAAAAAGACATTCATCTGTTCGACATTGAAGCCTTTGATGCATCAATAAAGGTGATATTTGGAACGTGTGATTGAAATTTTACTTTTGCTAGGGTTGCCACTTTGAACTTTTCATGCTATTAACTCTAATACACTTAATTATTTTTTATTTGGCTTAGTAACATGTAAATACTGTTGTTGAAAATTAAGAATGATATGGTGAAATTATTATCAATCATACAATACTATTAATATAACATTGAAAATACAATTTCCAGTGGCAGCCCTGCTTGTAACTAAAATTATCCATTTCATTTAATTTCTTAACATTCCTTATTTCTTTACTAATATAAGTTGTGAAAATAAAATAACTGGCTTAGCTAGATTTATGTTAAAAAAAAGAATTATGAAATGTAAATAATAAATAAGAGACTCTATCTTACGTAAATTCTATAGAGTATTGTTAATAGCTCTGAAATCGCTAAATATTTGAAACATCACATGATTTTAGAATAGAAGTAAATTATAAAAAATAATCGTTTGAATTGCAGGAGCTTCAAGACATGCAGAACAGGCGGCATCAGGATAACTTTATGCCGTCACAGAAGACCGTCGTACCTCTGAACAGATACGATGAAGCAGAAAAATTGGTGGCAAGAGCGCTTTACGCATTCAATGGACAAACGACGAGGGAACTTACCTTCAAGAAAGGAGACTTGATCAATGTGAGACGACAAATCGATTCAAATTGGTACGAAGGCGAAGTTCACGGCAGAATTGGACTGTTCCCATATAATTATGTTGAGGTAAGATAGATTTTCATTTCTTTGGGCCGTATTCTATATTTTCCTTTGGATTGTTAGCCTATCTCTTATGTCTCTTTAGAAAATATTGGTATAGTACTATGGATTATTATTTTCGATAAGGTTCATACTGCAAGTACGGCTAGATTTTTTTCATAACTTGAACAATTACGACAAGTTAGACCATGTAAGGTTTTGTGAAAGGTGAACTTAGACAACTTTTTTTAATTATTAATCCCTTAATAACTTTCCAATACTACATCAGATCATACAACTTTTCAATGTGAAACATTTTCAATGTGGATTTTATTACCTCTACTTTCTTTACTTTAAATCCAACGCACCTAGATTTAATAACATTAAATTATCTCCCGTAAATTAGTATTTTTCACCAAATATTTTATCAGAAACTCAATTCTCCTGTTGTTTCTAATATATGGATAAAAAGCGAATTTTTCATTTACGTACAACGCTATGACGTTATAATTAAACATTGGGAGTGTACTAACACTAATTTTATCTATAACACTTGCCTAGATCATGACTAATATGTTTGCGCACGTTGATATATCGCTCGAAGATAAGAATCCATGAGATTTGTTTGTACTGATAGGCTTAGCAATAACTAAACATTCAGCGATTGTCATAAAGACAATGGCACAATTGTGTATTCTACTAGTAGTTTCAACAAGAATTGTATATTATATCATATTTTTAAATCAGTGAAATTTAAACCTCCACTGTAAACGTAATAATCATAACAGTATTGTTAATAGACGTCAGTAATATTAATAAAAAAGGTTCTTTATTAACGTTAAAGAAATCACTAAAGATGTTTGTTTGTTTTTTGTGTTATAAAATATTGAACTAGCAATAAAATAAATAAGGAATATTAAATTTTACTGCAGATTTTAAAAGGAGACACGTACACACATTCACCAAAGAAGCCGGTAGCAGTAGAAGGACAAGCTCGAGCGAAGTTCGACTTCACCGCACAGACGAACCTCGAACTACCACTGAAGAAGGGTGAAGTGGTAGTGTTAACGCGGCGCATAGACCAAAACTGGTGGGAGGGCAGGAACGGCACAAAGACCGGCATTTTCCCCGATAGTTACGTCACCGTACTACAGGAGCCGAGTCAAGCTGAACCTCGTGAGTTTGCAATAATAGCAATTTATTACCAAGTTTACGATCAGCAATACGCATCGATATTCTTTGAAATGTTTGGATGCCTAAATATGTTTGAAAGACAATAGAAATAGTTACGAATAAAATAACAGGATGAGTTATGAAAGTCTTTAAGCCCTTGTACAGTGTGATCAGCTTCCTCCCTAATCAAGTATATAAACAGCCAGTTAGTGCCTATTCTGCTAGTATTACTGATTGAACTACGTGATGTTACAGCATCATTGGCACACAATGCATGTAACGTGGAGAAGCCGGCGGCATCGCCCGCGGCGCACGGCCTGGTGAATGGCGCGGCGCGACGCACGCTGCAGCAGCACAGCTACACTCCGCAGCACAATAGTCCCGCGCTTGCCAACGCACCGCCTGCCACCGCGCCTCTACCAGGTAACACTTGCATCTTTCCAAGACCTCCCAGGTAGCTTACCTTTTAACCACTCCAAATAACAAAAACTTGAATCCTTTCATGTAACTATAACTACATCATTAAGATGTTATTCTTTTTATATATATTTATAGTATAGTAGTAGGTTTCCCGTTGAAATCTCCGTGATATCTGTTGGATTAGTAGCTTAATCGATCTATCATACTTTAGCAATTAAATTTTTTTACATAGTTTCAGGTTACTTAGCGAAGCCGGCTCATGCGACATTAGCGTCATCGGAGCGCGGCTACGGCGCAGCGCCCGCCGGTGACCTCAACAACGCAGAGCCGCTGTACGTCGACACCAATGCAGAAGCTGTGCCGTGAGTACAATATCAAAATACATTCAAGTAAAAAAACGAGAAAAATAATTGCCAAATTGGCATAGTGCCTTCCACTTCGTGACGCAGATATTTATGTTGTTTCAATTGCTTCCTCAATTTTCAGTACATACCTAAAAGCTATATATTGAATTGCATCATTGCCAGCCACTTTTATTGGTTTCAAGTATATTAATGATTTAAAACTGTAAGCTATTATAATATAAATAATGTGTTGTTTGCAGGTACCGCGCGATGTACAAGTATCGTCCGCAGAATCCGGACGAGCTGGAGCTGCAGGAGGGAGACACGGTGTACGTCCTGGAGAAATGCGACGACGGCTGGTACGTCGGCTCCAGCCAACGCACAGGACGCTTCGGAACCTTCCCCGGTTAGTCCTCAATGTTGTGTGAATGTATAAAAAGCAAACTGCATTCCATAATCTCTACTTATATTTCCATGTGAAGGGCATGATGCACATTTTTCAATGTAAACTTTTGCAGGTAACTACGTGGAGCGCATCTGATAGCGCCAGCCGTCGCTGCTGCGTCGGTTGCGCCGCGCAACCTTCTGCGCGCGACGTTCACACTGACTCACGCACACACGCACACACACCGGTCATACGCACGCGGATACACAAACCATAATCTTACATACAGACTATACGTGTAAATTAAAACGTGCCAAAGGTTAACATTTTCTGTTCCTGTCAAGGAACTATTAAACTTCCAGAGGCGCAAAACATTTTGTTATCTTTTCTGTATATCGAAATTTCACACGCAAATTACTATTATTTATAATATGTACGTAGAACGTGTATTTATAATTTTTACTCGAGGCTTAAAGGTGATTTGCGTGTGATATTAAGATCCGTGTACAATACTTAACTATTATGTAACTATCTGCTGTATATTGCATATCTCCAAGTGCGTATGAAAATGGTGATAATGGACAATTTAATTTAACATATACAATATTAACCTACATTGGAGCTTTTATACTTTAGCACATTAGACTACGTATCATAAAAACGTGATTATATTCGTCATCAAGTCACGAATATGTAATGTCGACAATTGGTTTAATATTTATTTCCTTATTGGATTAAATAACAGACTATCGCATCAATGTTAGAGTAGTTAAAATAGATCTTTGTAATTTTATGTAACGATTTATATTTAACGTTGTATGTACGAAAATTATGTTACCAAAACACAACCATGACTTTTATAACGTTTTATAAATTAATAATGTAAGTTCAACCATATTACTGTCATGTACAAATAGTGCCCCAATATTTACTCACCAAAACATTAATAATAAATCATGTTTCTACTTTTCCTTTCTGTATGTTCTAAAGTCTTCTTTCTCTTTTGATCACGTACTTTCTTGGAAACCAATATTGCTAATCGAAGCTATCCAAAGTTATTTTAAACGTCCCAAAGAATATGTTATTGGATAATTACGGTGTTGTATAATTGTAAAAAAAATAATAAAAATACATATATACATGTAAAGTTGTTTGGTAGATATAGTTATTTATTTTAAATGAACGGAGGTGAGGATGGGAGCTCCTCTTTTAAAATAACTTTTAAAAGAGCGAAGCCGGGCGCGTGGGTATACATGTAAATGTTACTAACAAATCTACGTATCACTTATTCCTTTCTAACTCTACGTGTTTAATAACTTCGATGTTCTAAGATGCTTTCTTAAAGACCACAGACTTAAATTCTTAAGACTACTTAAAAAGTATTAACGATATTTTAATCTGATGTGATAATGATCCTTCACAATTTGGTATTATATTACATTATTCCGTATTAAATATGGTCTAGGAACGTAGAGTTAGTAAAGAACTAGTGTAAAAACTCGATACAAAAATCAAACTTTGAATCTAACCAAGAGTGATAGCAAAGTTCTGATGTTTTGTGAATTGGCTTCAATGCGGCTTTATTAATAAGAGCTAACGTATTTCGTAGAGAGCGCATAAATTAAACGGTATCAAGGTTCTGTTACCGCGCAATACGCATGTCGTAATACTCATAAATATGACGCCTAGATACGTCATAACCATCTCGATGTGTAGTTTCCTAGTAAATGTATTTTAATTTCTAATGTATAGTTTTATATTAAGTTACTTAAAAACTATACGCACAAAAATTGTCATTAATATTAAATGATTATGACGTATCTATGCGTTTCATATATCTATGGTACGGAGAAACATTAGGGCGAGTGTAATTGGCAACGTTGACAATACTATTTGTATGCTTAATTGAAATAAGAGATATTATATATTCGATGTAACGATAGGAATGCTATTATTGTGAAATATATCTAATATGTTGTCAATATGGACTTTAGCAGTATCTAGTCATTGGTTTTTGTACCGGTCATTTTGTATATTCTGTTCGTAAACTCTGTAAATTCTGTAAACTGTAACTCTCTGTAAACTTGTTCGTTGTCAAATCCTGTGTAATTATAGAAGTCCCCCATAGCAAAAGTTTCGTATTGAATGTTTATGGTAATTGTAAGATGTCGCTAAACCAAAGCAGACTGTTTCTCGCCCTCTTGTGAAAGCTTGTTTTGTGTAGTACGCACGCTATAGATGTTTCGATTTTATTTTTATTTTTAACATTTTGTTGTATTTAATTTTGTTAATTTATTTTTAGATGCACAAATGTTTTTATTTTGTTGACACCGCGACATGAGATGTAACATTAACCGGCTATTGTTTTATATCATCACGATTAATAAATATAATCTTTTTTATAAAATGTGTGTTTTATTTATCGTACACTAAATTGTTTCTAGAATAAAGTTTCCTAGATTATTACCAGCAAAAACTGTGTCGACCATCCTGGCCACAAAGTAAATTTTATCGACAAAATAAAAGAAAAAAATTACTAACAAAACCGCGGTTATCACTGACCTCTACATATGATATCTGCGGCGGTTTTCAACATTTGTATTGTTATAAAAAAAAACATAAATTAAAACAAAAGTATTCATTTGTAATATTAAATTAAATTGGCCCTTTTTTGTCCACTTTTTAGACTATAACAACAGTACAGAGTACAGAGTGTTGTCCAAAGAGTACTGTAGTACTCTTTGGACAATACTGTTGTATTACGGTTGCTTAGCAACGTTACAAACACAAACATTGATTACGAAGTTACTGCTTATTGCGTTATAAAAATCAATACAGTCATCGAGAAGACAATAAATGAAACCATGGTAGAGACGGATTGGAGGCAAATATTGAGTTTATCTCAGAAGGAACTACTACAGGCCGACAAAGAGGAACTATGTGAGAGTCTGTCATGGATGGAAGTCGATGATATTGAGTTGAACTTTTCAGATTTAAAAACTCTCTTCAGATTAGCCCAGGATATTTTAAAATATAAAAGTGAACAGGTAAAAAAGAGCACATAAGTTTTAATTAAATTTAAAGAGGTTGCTAATTAATGACATGACTTTTATTTCGATGTTATTTTCTTGTTACATCTTGTGAAGCTAGTATACATATACTGCAGTCTCTTTTAGTTTAAATATAATGAAAGAGATAAAAATATGTGTACCGACAAGTGTCAAGACAATGGAGCTCTACAGTTAAGGGAAACACTTAAAAATTAATTATTTTACAACAGGTTAAAAATTTAGGGGGAGAGTTAAATGCCATTCATAAGAAAAAAGGCAAAAAGCAATCACGTAATGATAATGCAGGTAATTAGCATAATGTTCTTTCTACACAAAAAGTCCGTAGTATGTTTTCTTAATACTAGAATTAGAATTATTCCCAGGAACAAGTTCCAACAATGCGTTGGAAACGATTACACATCAAGAACAAGTCATAAAAGCAAACAAAGATATTCTGGAACAATTGTACGCTGATATAGCTGAATTAGAGGAACGAAAAACTAAATATAAAGACCAATCCATTGATATTGAAAAAGATAGTATATCCAGTCCAGACGTATTATCAGAAATAGATGCTAAAGCTCAACTTGAAAATGAAATCGTTCAAAAGAACAAACACATCAGAAAACTACTTGGACATGTTAAGGTAAGGTTTAGAATTTATGAAGTTACAGAAATCACAATAATAGTCATATAAAATAAAACATTATTCAATATCTACAGATATTGGAGGAAGAGAATACTAAATTTAAAGAAAAAATCACAATACTTAAAGATAAATTGAAAGAAGCCACGAAAATAATAGAAGATTTGACAGAGAAATTGCTGGCATCAAGTAACGAGTGCAATCGTATAAAAGGTGAAAATAATAAATAAGGCCTAATCTTAATAAGGGCAATAATGTTTCATGATTTTTTTTACATATTTCAGAAACTATTGGATCTTTAGAGCTAGCAAAATCAAATTTATTAGACGAAATAAGTACACTCAGACAAGAAATTCTTTCGAAAGGCATTAACACAGACAACGTGCACGAAGATGCTAAAACGAAAATTCAGCACTTAAAGGTTATCGCAATCTTTTTAATGTTATGTGATTTTAACAAAACGTATTTCTCTTAAACACTGGCTTAAAAATATAATGTTCATAATACCTTTTTTTTAGAATTTAATTAAAAATCTACGATTAGAAATAGAAAAATTAACAATAGAGAATAACAAATTAAAAGAAGGACTAAGCATGAGATCTACACCTAAAAATTCGGAAGAGAAACAGGTAAATGTTTGTTAATATTGCTACATTCTTTCTATTTTATACACATATAGTTACTATTTAGTGGAAATTCAATAAACCAATAATTTTTACTCCTTTTTTTATTTTGATATCAAGGAAAACCGTATGGACGAAACGCGAATCAAAGAATTGGTGGATAAACTCGCAGAAGCTTCTAAAGAAATATTACTGTCAGTGAACGTCATAGATGTTCTAAAATCTGAAAATAAGCAACTGAAATCACTACTTGAAGAGACTCACAATACTGATTTAGATTTCAAAAATGAAAGTGACGATGGAAAAGAACGTAAAATGATAAATGAGTTAAAGAAGAAAATTAAAAAACTGACTGCGACTCTTCAAAGCACAGAACAAATGTTAGTTATGAGAGAAAAAGAGGTGAGTACTTTTTAATGTATTATTTCTTAGTTATATTGTTACTTTGATACTTTTATGATATTTTTAAGGTATTGGAATTATCATCTGAACTTGGCCTTTTGCAATCCGACGATGGGATTGCTACTTTAATGAAAGCGGTTAAGAATAAAAAGCAACAACTCAAGTTCAAAGAAGAAGGTATTAAATCTTTAATAAAAGATATAAATAATCTCACGCAAGTTGTAAATGATTTGCAGATTGAAAATGAAACAATGAGGTAAATAAAACGGAATGAAACATGATTCTTGCAAGTTTTATAGTAATATTATGTTTTTAACATATGGTGTATTGTATTTTTAGGAGACAACTTAATTTAAGTGACAGCGATAAAATTCCAACCGAGGGAATTTTACTTGAATACCATAACTTAAAAGAACACAATAAAACTTTAAGTAAAGAAATTCGAGCATTTGAGAATGAACTCGTAACATTAGAAATGAAAAACCGAGAACAAAGAGAAATTATTTCTAAAAATGCAAAGTTGCTAAGTACTAAGGAGACAAGTATATCAAAAACGAATAATAGTGACACAAAAATAAAGAACGATGATAAGCTACAAAGAGTTGAAGAAGAAGTCTTGTAATTTTTATTATTAAATCTAACTTGTCTTCTTAATTGTTCAAAATGTTTTATATAATTAAATACATCATTACAGATTGGAAGAAAAAAGCGATAAACTAAATGGAAATATAAATGAGGAGATAGACGTTCATTCTCTTATTGAAGAAAATGAAGGTCTACGTAAAGGACTTGAAGAAATATTCAACTATTTAAAAGATAATTGTATGTGTGATCAATTATAAAAAATTATACAAAACTGTTGGTTCTTAAACTCATATTTTTTATATTTTTTTATCAGGTGATGGTTCAACAGGAGTTTTGGCTTTCGAATGCCCCAGTTTAGAAGCTGTTTTATGTGCCTTAGAAGCTCGACATGCTGCTGGTTGGTTTGCTCCTCACATCGCAACAACATTACAACTAAAAGCTGCTTTAGGTGGCAAAGATGCACTTTTAACAGCTCTCCAACAATCAAGGTGATAATATTCAATAATATAGTATCATGAGTTTGAAATGACATATTTTGGAAAAAAATCAGTTATGCTTTTTTTTTAAACCGTTCGCGTTGTTTTCAGGAAGGAAGTATTTAATTTAATGACACAATTGTCAAAAGAGTCTCAAAAGTGTGCAGAAATGGAAACTAAAGTGCATGAATTGGAAAGTCAAATGAAAACAAAAGCAGAAAGAAAAAGCGATGATTACAATGCTAATTTTGGTATATTCAATTCATACGTTTTTGATAATGAAAACAAAGAAGTCAATTTACTAAATAAATCAGAATTAGAAAAAGTAAGCTTAAACAGAAATTCTTTATATGAAAAGGAAGTTAGAAATGCTCTTGTATATTTTCGAAGTAAATTTGAAATGTTATTTGATAAAATGACAGAGATTGCAATAAGCACATCGGACGAAAAAAGCAAATGGTTAATTCAAGAAGAGAATTACAAAGCCCAAATTGAAAATTTAAAAATGTCACACATTTCAAATGGAGATGAAGATCACAGTGATATTTCGGCTGGTCTAATCAGTAGCCCCAACATTTCGTTTTTAGAAAGAAAATGCACTTATCTGGAAGAAATGTATAAGAATATTAGAACATGTTACGAAAATATCAACAATGAGATTTTAGAAAATAAAAAAGAGAAATTGAAATCTACTTTGTATTTTGAAACGCAAATACAAAACTTAGTGATAATAATTGTTAACCTTATCGAAAAAATACGATGCTCTATGCCAGAGGATTTATTTTGGAAACAAAATAAAATATTTAATGAAATAGTAACAAAATATCGGCAAGGACTGAACTACGATTTAATGAACGTAGAATCAAAAAAAATCAAACAATTGGACAACGATAAAATAAATGCTAATGATACGACTATGAAGATTTCACAAAATCGTAAGTGTGGGTATACAGAATATTTTATTAGGTTTACTATTTTTACTGACAATTTTAAATAATAACACATATGTACCTCTCAAATAGAAAAATAAAGATAAATTAACATCTATTCTAGATAACCTTAGACAGTTCACATAAATCTTATTAATATCAATGCAATTTATTTGCAGTGCAGTTACACACTGATTTTAGCCAAGTATTACTTTCCAACAGGTACTAAAGAAGACAAAAATAGTGATTCTAAAGTAGAAAAGATAGCTCCACAAACCCTTCAGGAGATACGCTCGGAGTTAGATGCAAAAAACAAACTAATAGAACAACTCGTTAAAAGGAATACAGAATTACAAGAGTTGCAAGCTAATCTTATGTGAGTAATTTCTTCTTAACTCTCTTTTTATAGACGGTTACACCATACTTTTTCTAGCATTATGTACTATCATAATTAAACATACCTAGACAATACTTGGATATAAAATGTCATTATTTTTAAGTGACAACACCTTAGCATCAGAAACGAAGGATGAAATAACTAGTTTAAAACAAAATCTACACCAATTAAATGATGAAAACAAACAGTTGAAAGATAAATTTCTTGAAATCAAAACACAATACGATGTCGTTATGTCTCAGGTAATTACTATAATTTGTACTTTTAGTTTTGAGTCCCTTTTATTGATAATAAAATCTCAAAACATATATATGTTTTGAGTTAGTAATTTTTGCTTTTTACCTAACTTACAGAATAAATTAGAAATTACAATGAATGCTACAATTTATTTTTTATTTTATAGTTCCAACATGATGAACGAAAACGTTTGAATTATGAAACAGAAATAAACTTGTTAAGACATCAAATACTGGATCTCCAGTCGACAGGAGACAACAAAGCTGTTATTGCACGGTAAATGTGCTTTTTATTATCGTACATTGATTATTTACTGCTATTTCGGCTGTTTTGGTTTTATTCCTCAAAGATACAATCTCACAAAGTCTTTCTTCCTTATTTAAAAATTGTTTTGTAAATACATGCATGTACATCAATGGCAATCAATCTATAATCCTTAAACAACTCTTAAATTTAATCTTGATCAAGCAATACAGGCAATATTTTAAATGTATCTTTGCTTTTAAGTTTAAGTAATGAAATCTTGGTAGCCCACCTACAAGCTAGTGAGAGACACCAAACAGTAGAAAGTCTTAAACAATATCTAAATAGAGAAAAAGAAATGAGAGAAAATGCAGAAGAAGCATTATTAGCTCAACAAAAGATATTAGAAATGTTTACAATTAAGTATGAAAACAAATTCAGGTAATACCTCTATACGTCAAATGGATAGAATAGTAAATAAAAAGAAGAACACACAACACAATCAATATTAATTATTTTCAGATATATGCACGAAGTTCTACAAACGTTAAGACTAGAATATCAAGGAGGCTTACCTATGACATCTGCTGAAAATTATCTTAAAGGTTTAAAAGAACTTGCAGATAAAACTAAAGATGTTGATGAAAAATTTACTGAAATCGAAGACTTACGTTTCAATTTAATGGCGAAACACAGTGTTTATGATCAAATATTAAATTTAACAAGCGGAAATTGTTCTGAAAATAGTAAGAACTGCCAACATAAATTGCAATTGATAGTATCGGTAATAAAATTTTCCCATTCCGAAATTATAAAAATACCTAATATAGCTAATAACACGTTATAACCTAAACAATTTATGAAATTTCAGCAAGGTACTCAAGTTAGAGAGTTGGAACATTGTAATAATAAAATACAGGCTTTGGAAAAAACACGTAAAAATTTATTAGAACGATGTAATTCTCTTGATAAAACTCTTGTTATGGTAAGCCAGGGGTTAAGGGATACATTTATTGAAGAAAATATCTTAAAAGAGAAAAATAACAATAATACTAAAGATATAGTCGACATTGAATCTGAAGACTCGCAATCTGATTCCGATATTGGATCCAGTACCAAAGGTTAGTATCTAAAAAACTAGTACTAACCAACTGAAATTCTCCATATAAACTGTCAAAAAATAACAAGGCATTTTATCTTTTCTAGAAAGTGGAACGTTTACTCTTCCAAAACCACGAACAACCCAGTTAACATATCAAATTAATTTCAATTCTAATGAAAAGAAATCTGTAGCCACTTTAACGAATTTCCCGGAGCGAAAATTTGGAAACTCAGAACTCTCAAATGTGGCTATTCAAACGAACATTGATAACGCACAAAGAATAAATAAGTTAATTCAAACAGAAAAAGATGATTCGTCAAGTGAATTGAAACAACATATAGACAACCTTGAAATAGCAAATAAAGATGCAAAGAAGAAACTATCCGATAGTTTATCAAAATTAGAGCAGCGCGAAAAAACAATTACAAGAGCTAACGAAGAAAATAAGTCTTTACACCTTAAAATACAAAATCTTGTAGATACAAATGCGAAACTAATATCACTAAATGAGGACCTTCAAAAATCTGCTGAATTATTAAAAAAAGAAATTGAAGATTTCAAAAAATCACACAACGAACAGTGCAACAAAATCAAGAAAAAAGCAAAGGAAGACACTCAATCACTATTAGAAAGTGTTGAACGTATAGAAAAAGAAAAGAATGGCATTATGACCGAATACAAACAACTGTTAGATAGAGAAAGAAATGACAATTGTGAAAATGTTAAAACATTAAAATCAAAATTAGTAGCTTTGCAGGCGGAAATAGATAGGTATGAGGGTATTTATACAAACATATTAAAGAATAGTTACTTACATATTATAATGGTTAAATCATAACTTATACGAACGCTAAGATAATTTTAAATTCTTGGTAAATTCCATCAATCATATTACATGACAGATTTTAGATAAAAATGGTCTTGCTCTGGCGTAAATTATAAAACTATTATTTATTACAGAAAAGCGAGTGTCGTGGGTGGGTGCAATGACGATATTATCAAACAGAACATTGCGAAATATTCCTTAAAAAATGCAGAACTAGAAAACAAGTGCTTCAAACTAGAGAATAATCTAGAAGACTATAAAAGAGAAGTGTGAGTAAATTCAGCAGTACCATTATTATTTTAACGGATCGTTTATAATCACTTTGAATTTACTTAACATTTATATACATATTAGTGTCAGTTGCCAAAGTGAGCTTCAACGTTGGAAGAACTTAGCAGCAGAAAGACTTGAAAAAATGCAACAAATGGGTCTACAGTTAAAGGAACGCCATAATTATGAGGTGAGTATCTACGTTCATATAATATTGTACTGAAAGTTCTTGGGGGATTGGAAACTGTATAAATTAAAATTGTTTCCTCATAAGCCTTGCCGGATGAGCCGACACGAGGAAATTTTTCATTCTTTTATGTACTGCAGGTAGAATCATACAAAGCCGAAAACCAACATTGGTTGATGCAGTTAAATGAAACTCAGCGCGAGCACATAGAATTGCGCACACAACTTTCAGAACAGAAAGCATTACATGTAAAACAATTAGCAGAAAAAGATGCTCAAATAGAACAACTTCGAACAATTGTACATAACTTGAAAGTAAGTGAAAGAAGTGTGATACTGTGAAGTGGAAATATTTAATTAGTATATGCCTTTGACGACATTGACGGTATAATGTTTAATATTATTTTCAGACTCAAATAATGAATATGCAAACAATGTTATCCGTACAAGATCCAAGTTTCGATCTTTCAGCTATAGTAGAGGTTGAAGAAGCGAGCGACTTCTCACAACAAGGCTCTGATAGACTGGAACTAAAGTTCGATTCCACCGTCGATTTCCACGACATGCAAGATGATTTTACTAAAATGTCAACGTCCACTATGATTTGGTAAATCTCATATTATTTTACAGATATTCTAATTTTAGTACATCGCAAGTTAAAGCTTTGATTTAGAAAAAAATGTTAGTTTAGTTGAAAACTACAGCCCTAGCAATAAAAAGTGATGGACATATCTAAATAAATAAAGTTAAAGTAATAATAAAAATTTAGAACAGCTGTTCTTTCTTGAACTGACTGACTTTATAATGGTAATTAATACATTTCAGGCAGGAGCCAATAATAGAGCGTTTGAGAAGAGAAAAACAACTGCTCGCGAAACAAAATGGAGTGTTACGTCGCCAAATCAAAGCGATCGCAGCGAGGGAGAGAAGATCTCGACTAGACGCTCAGAATCTCAAGAATCAAGTATTTAGAATGTAAGCCCAAATATGAATGCGCAATGGTAGATGTGGGCAGGCCTTTCGACTTAAAAACTCCTAATCCAAACAGAAATCACGCCACGAGTGGTGATAATTTTCTAATCATGTTACGTATTTTACTTAAAATAGAATTTTGCTGTTAATTTATTTTTAATACGAGTGACTAAATACTCGTGGTCTTTACTGTATTTTTTTCTTATTTTATTATTTGTATGTATTGTAGAAGTACATCGGGCAGCAAGGCGGTGTGCGCTGAAACAGCGGCGCTGCACAACAAGATAGCGACACTGCAGGCGCAGTTGACTAGTGCTCGTCGAGACAACAATTCCTCCGTCGCACTATGGGACAAATGGAAGAGGTTGCCACTGTCCTAATTACAAACTCTATATTCTATTTAATGTGTAATTCGATAGAATCATAATTAATTCCTAGCTTGTTCAAAGATAATTAGGATCTCAACTTGATAGTGCCTACAACTGACGTAAAATGACTCCTTTTTATGAGAATTTTGTTTAATATTAACTACGAAGCAAAATTTACTACTTATAATAAACAACTTTTGTTTTTTTTTAGAGCGCAACAAGCGGCGGAACGTTGGCAGGCACGATACGAAGAGAAATGTCAAGAAGTTATCAAACTAGAAGGCGGATTGAACATGGCACGGTCTGCTGTTGCAAGACTGGAGAAAGAAAAACGATTGCTCTTGTCGAGACTATCTGAACCTAAAAGTATGTTAGTTTTTACTGTAAAAAATACTTATGTTCTCAAATAATCTGTTACTGGACTTAAGTACAACATAATATAATTTATTACGAAACAAACTTACTGCCGTGCTGTAAGTTTCATAGTTGGAATAAAAAAGAAGAATCTACAATATGTATCACACTTAATAAGCTTGTCACGTCCATAAATAAATTATGTATTTTGTTTTCAGATGAGAAGCTGTCTGCGAGAGAAAAGCAAGACGGAGAAGCTTCTGAGAAGCGTCTCTCTCGAAGCGAGTACGATCCGAGCGAGATGCAGACCGTACCGGTGTCGACCCGCGCACTGCTCGAGCGAATAGAGGCACAACAGAGACGAATCGCAGCCCTAGAAGTTGCTGAAAAAGTACGTAAAGAGATTTCAAAACAAATCCATTTTAGTAACTTATAATTTTAAGCATATAAGGTTTATATGTATAGGCTAATGTTACTTTGCGTGCTTGCTTGATTATTGTCGATTTCTAATTTTAGGGAAACGAGCCCCTAGTTTCTGAATATGAAAAATCTCTTGCGGAAATAACATCTCTGAAGGGTCAAGTGTTGAAACTTGAGTCTACGTTACTTGAAACACAAATACGTTCGCCTTACAAACAGGAAGTTAAACCAGAACTCGAATATTGGAAGAGGTATCCAATTATTTCAAATTTAATCTTATACTTTGACTAACTTTCTTTTGTTTTTGTTATAATATTTTAAAAAAAAGAGGCTTGGTATAGCCAGTAACAGAATACTATACATACATATAAGCTATTGAACGTGACAATTAAAACTAATTATAGTTTTATAAAATATGTCAAGTTACAAGAATATTCCAAATATTTATCGGTAATACCTTGTGTAAGCTACTGCAACATGCTGAAGGAAGAGAACAGTCAATTGACACTACGCGTGAGTTCCCTGGAGAGTGCCCCCGCCACCGCGCACCAGCACCGTGTCAACGATCTCGAGCAGACCGTGCTCACGCTCAGAGGTATGCCTATATTGTCACACTGCCACAGACTCACGACAATGTTATGGTAACCATCTATAGAGTCGCAGCAAATAGAACTAAAGAAACCAAAAATAGAGCCCTGCCGCCATTTGTCAACTGGATCCTGGGCGCGCAAAACTAATATTAAGAAGCGAAGATACTAGTTTATCGGTATTATGTGTGCTATATTAAGGTAGAAAAGAAACACTAATGTGTGTCTCAAATAATTTTAGGTTTGGTAAGCAAGTTGCAAGCAGAACAAAAATCTTCAGCAACGAACATAAAGCGAGTCGATTCTCGACCAACGAGCGGTCGCAGTACATCGGACAAGGTTACAATATAATTGGGTTACTAAGATGATGATTTAAGTTGATGGTCCTCGTTATTGTTTTATTAAATTTTCAGACTCGAAATCAGCTGGAGTCGTGTAAGACTGAAATAGCAAACTTAAAGAGGACTATACAAGAGAAAGACGCACTACTTGAACGCTCCAAAGACATGCTGAGGATCGCGGCCGAGAGAGAAGACGAGTTACTGAACGAGGTTATCTCATAATTAAATTTAAAAAAAGATTACCACATTTTATTGTTGAATTTTAGTGTTACGAATTACGTACAATGTTTCAAATAGACAGTTAAAGTATGGAATGACTGTGTAAAAGAGGATATGCGTAAGAAGGGAATAGACTCGGATATGACGGCTGATAGAGAGATATGGAGGAGTAGTACATACTGTGCCGACCCTCGATAGGGATAAGGGCAGGTTGGTGATGATGATGATGTTTCAAATAGATAGATGTAATGCACAAAACAATTCCAACACCAGATACTACTACAATTCCCATTAGTTTTATAATATATATTTTTTTTATTTTCAGAATACATTTCTACGTCGGCAATTAGAAGAATTGACGGATTACAAAAGAGATTCGGTATCGGACTAATATAAGCTTGATTTATGACGTCATAAGCGTGTTCTTTATTACCTTTATCATATTCGTAGATTAAGCAAATCCTTTTGTCGTTGTATAAGGTAAATAAATATTCATAGTTTGTGTTAGACCGTTGTGTCATCAATAAACACCTTTGAAAACTTATCTTATGATTTTTCTTTGTCTAATAGTCACCAACGTCGTAATTATTGATGATTTTCAGGTCATCTTGTGCTATATCCCGCTAGGATATAATGAAAGTTACTCTACGGTAGACTGAAATAAGAGAAAAAACGCTATAGATAACCGTCGTTTCATAATAAATGAGCCTAAAAAATTGTGGAATTTTTTAAAACAAATAGCAAACTGTAAATACAAGCTTAAATTGAACAGTCCGAAAAATTCCTACTAATTTTATTTTTAACTGCCTCCAACTTGAAATGAAACCATACCTTATTAGTATTTTTGTTGTAATATCTGGCTCGTAACCTCGCTGCAAGTGGCGGCGTGAAGAGCGCAGGGTCTGGATGTGGATTGCCTGCCTTCTGCCAGGGCTGCTGGTGACGCACCAACACAGATATGACCGTGCCAATCAGTAACACCCACACGAAGCCAATCTGTAATACATTTTATTTTGTTTACATTAATACAACTTTCATCATTTTTCTTCTCAACTTTCACTCTTGAAATGAGATGTTATAATATATGAAAAAAATAATATATATTTACATAGTGAAAAAACGTACCAAACCGGTCCACATATAAGATATTCGATAGAGATAAAAGTAGTCGCTTGCAGCAGTTGGCACAGCTGTTAGCATAGTTAAGTTTTGACTGCAAGCTTCTGTAGAAACCGGCAGCTTGGTAACTGGAGGTCGTGGTCCTCCAAAAGATATCCATAATGTCAACGATAGACCACTCAGTAGACCTATAGATGCACCCTGGAAATTATATATTTTTTCCACTTTAAAAAGTTATCTAGATGTTTCTGTCTCAACAACAGAGTGAGAGAAACAAATACGTTATATTTTATGTGAATATTTTCATAATACACGTAACATACAAGTTCATTAGCGAACGTAGTAAACATTCCCAGCGAGAACACTCCGAGTAATGGGCCGCCGACTGCGCCGAAGATTGTCATAGCGGATTGCAGCACGCCGCCTAAGTACTGAGCGAGGAACGCTAGGGTCAGGAACAGGAAGCCGTAAGCGCAAGCCGCTAACTTTGTCAGCCAGAGTGTACATGATGAGCTCAATTTACACCATCTACGGATACCAAGTGAAGTGGTAAATTTATCTATGTAAATTAATCAAATATATCAAAAATAATACTTCTTTTTAACCCAGAAACTTCTAATATTAATATAATTTCCTCAAAATAATGAAAAAGGTCAATTCTCCTCCCGTAATATTAATAAGAACTTAGATTCAACGCATCCTGTTCAGATTTACTTATATATACTATACCTGCCAATGTAATCTGTTAGTGTAATTGCAGCGAGAGAATTGCAAGAGGAAGATATAGTGGAGAGAGAGGCGCTGAATATTCCCGCCACGAACAGCCCAGCGAGACCTGGCGCAGCACCCATCGCGTGCACCACGTAGTAAGGTAACAACTGGTCGATCTACACGAAAGACATTGTAATAACTTATAGAAATAGCCTGCAAAATACTCAGGGAACAAATACGAAACAAATGACATCTCAGACGCTACATGCGTCACAATGGAAAATATAACATTATCGTTCATTTTTATTTTTGGGAATATGAAATATCTTTTCATTATCCTTATGATCCACATTGTAAAAGTAAATTGTGCCATAAACCACGGATCCATATCAAAATAAAACAGGCACCAAGAAATTTGTTCAGTTCAATCAGATTTCCGTTTCCATTCTTAACAAACATAGCACACTTCTAAATTCAAAAGTAACTTTAGAGAAATTACTTACCGCAGTAATTTTCCCACTGGTAAATGGGTCACAGTTCTTATAGACGGCATATATCCCTAGACCGCTGATACATGTCACCAAGCTAAGCACGCATAGGACCGGCCAACTCCACCACAGACAGCGCTTCGATCGTTCCAATGTACTCACTGTCAGCAAACGTTGTACCTAACACAACAATGAAACATTAATATCTGCAGTTGTAAACTCTTTTGCCTCAGTAACATTGAATGCCTACCACAGAATTTCACTGCACAAAGTAAATACCTGAGTTTGGTTGACTGCATATAATGATAAGAAATTTATAACACCGCCGATGAGGAGCGACCACCAGGTATGTCTCTCTGTTGGATCCACACTGAAACTGATGAGAAATATAAAAGCTTTTGGTTAAAACTAATTTAAATGCCACTAGCGATACTTACTTTGAAAAATCTAAACGTCCACCTTCCTTAGCAATTTCAAATATTTGAAGAAATCCTCCAAGTTCTAATGACGTGAACACAACTACGCTTATTACTGCTGCGAACATTAGTAATGATTGCAGTAAGTCTGTAAACACAACAGCTTTCATGCCTCCTAAAGTTGAATACAAAGTGCAGGCTAAACCTACAACTAGAATAGATACGATTCTGGTCAATCCAGTGACAGTTTCAAGAACGATCGAGGGTGCGTACAACACTACTCCACTGTATAAAATCATCTGTAATGTGTAAGTTAGTGATGCTAGTATTCGTATCGTTGGTCCAAACCTCATCTCCAAATATTCATATGCACTTATCTTTTGCAATCCGAAAAATACTGGCAAATAAAACTGGCATGCTATTGGTGTTCCGAGACCATAACCTAAATTGACAATCACAAATATCATTCCATAGTAATAATTCTCTGCTGACACTCCAAGAAGAGTTATAGCAGACATGAAGGAAGCCATTAAAGATATTGCTATAGGAAATATAGACATGTTTCGATTAGCTAATAAGTACTCCTGAAACCAAAAGAAAAATGTTTAAATTTTTTTTGCCATTCAAGTTTTTTAAACTTTCTAAAATATGATCCAAACCTCATTAGTGTTCTGTTTGCCGCCACTAAACCGAAAATAAAGTCCGATTACAATTGAAATTACAACGGACGCTGTCATGATGGCGTAATCCACCGGTTTAAAGACTGACCTTTCCATGTTTACTGAAATTAAATGAAAATTATAAAAGAAAATCTAAAAAAAAAATTTCCAAACTCATGATAAAATCGAGTAAAAAGAGAGTAAAAAGTTTTGTTAATCTTGCTCCAAAACTAAAAAGCAAACTTTACCTTCACCGCTAGAGCTCATGTAGTTTAGAAAGAGATATCATTAGTTTTCCCTGCTTACTTTTCATTATGCTGCTTATTTCTTTATTTTATATTACACACATCTCATAATTTCATATCAATTTTATATTAACGATAGTCTTATTTACTCCTTTTTCTTACTGTATTCATTAAAAAAATCATAGACTTACTTGTAATTGCAGAAACAATTTAACAATTGGTTACAGTCGTCACACGTCAAAACTATGAGCATACTACACTACCGTTTAAATTATCGGTTATCCTTTTTATCTCTTATCTGAAACATCATCACTTATCTTTAAACAACATACAAAACATTACAACTCGTAAATATTTAATTGCAAAAAATATGAATACCGTCAGATTATCTTTTTATTGTTTTAAAAACAAGAACCTTACGAGACTTAACACAATCTGTCAATATACTGCATCTCATGTGATGGCGTATGAATGTTATTCATAAATAATTCATGCATATTAAATAATTTATAACTGCAATATCGCAAGAATGCTAAGGTCGTCAATTATTTTAATCCATTTCTACGCAACAATATTGCAAACAATATATTTCTTTTGCTGACAATTTTGTCCTAAATATATAGGAGTATAATGCAGCTTGCATCTTTACAGAATATTACACAGAAAAGACAATTTGAAGTGTCTAATTTCGGAAGTTTTAAATTTTTATAGTATTAAATATTCACCTTAGTCCTACAGAAATGTAATACGGACTTCCCCTTTGGCACGGTCGTGACACATCATGCTTCTACTATCTTTTGCAATTATCCTTATTACGATAATTAGTGTAACACCATTCTTAGTCTACTATAATACATCCGTAAAAGCTTTTTTTGCATAATCCACCAATATTCAGTACACTCCTCCCCCATTTCTAATTCTTGTAAGGGTACCTAATTTGTATTCCCTTTAATTTTTAACAACATGAAAACATCTGTTTATTATAATTAGCAATAATTTTCAACATTTGAATTGCTATTTTAATATTAAAGTAAGTTTTCTGTATGAGGCAAGTAAAGGTTGTTTTTTTATGTCATTCATCATTTAAAAGTTTAATAAAAAAACATAAAAACAAGCATAACACGATGTAATCCAGAGTTTTATTAAATTTTATTGTAAGAACAGTCTTCATAAGGGACATTAAAAATGGAAATGAAATTTTTTTCACTTCTCAGAAGGCCTTCGTTCACAATTCGTACAGGTATCACAATAAATCATGTTTGTTATTATAAAAAGAAAAGCATAACTTATTTTCAATAAAGTATTCATCGTAAGGTTCTTCGAATTTATGTTTTGTCTGTAAAAAGATGATTATTCTCAACTGCAATTTATTTGTTAATAATATAATGAGTTTACTCTGTTTTTTTTTATGTAATATGTTAATTAACAGTTAATAAAACCTTTTTATAAAGTATTTTTGTGTCTAGACTAATAAATTACACATTACTGAAATATTCTCCTACACATTAGAATTTTGCATTAATTAAAAGGAAACTTTTGTAAGAAAAAGAACAAAATTTTGCAGATTATGATATTTTATACATAAAATAAAATGTAAAGTGTTATAAACATATTTAATGCATACTTTTTAAGGGATCTATAAATATATCGATTTTACAATCGATTGTTGGGAGTAGAAAATATACTTTTTAATTTTTATATTAAACTGACGTATGACTTAAAGAACTCCACCAAACTATTTAGAAGTAATGATAACCAGGTGTATTGACTATCGCGTTTATTTTAAAACTTATAAGATTTATCTTAACTAATTATTGAACTTAAAATTAAGAGATTTATAAAAAAAATCACAAAAATTATAATAAGAAAATTAATTAATAAAAAATAATCTTCAATTTTAAATGATTTCAGAAAAGACTTTCACGTAATAATGTTATGGTTATTAGTTAGTCCATATTTTGATTTTCTTTAAGTTTTAAAAGTTTTCTGTGTACTTGATAGAAGTTAACATACGATATTCACTTTTTTATTCATAAAACATACAGAACATATCATCATTTGAGATATTAAAAAAAGAAAATTACAAAAGATTTGTAGATCATGTACTAAAAACTAAATTATAGCTTACTAATCGTTGGTTTCTGAGACCAAAATTCGTGTACAAACATATTATCTCTGTGTTGTTAAATAAAATGAGAGGGTTATCGATATGTTATTAAACAAGGATTTTGCTCTCAGAAAACAACGATAAGTTCTAAGTTATTTTATTGCGATTTAGACCATCGATTGGTTATGTATTGTCTCTCATAATGACTTAAATATTACAATAGTAAAATTGGTTTTGGTCTATTAAGCACTGTTATCCTTTACATGTATATTATAAAAGACCTTATCTTTCAAAGTACTATGAATTAAATCACTTTATTTTCGACTAATCTATTCATGATAAGTATATTTTTTATATTAAATAAGTCAGGGATCGACAACAATCCCACCAGATCTTAGTTGGTCAAAAGATGGCTTAACTTTTTATTTTGGCAGTGTTGAATACTGATAATAAATATAGTTTTATTTTTCTAAACATTGCATGAGGTATACAGAGTAGGGTTTACATTTTAATATTTTATTTAGATTTAATATGATATACTTCGACAATAAAAATTGTCAACATATTTTTTATATGTTTTTTTTCAATCGAATGTCATATACTATTATTAATTTACCTATTTTGTATAAATCAGGGATGGTGGAGCGTTACTTATCAACGTGCCATTTCTCTAGATACGTGTCATCAAATAATTTTGAATTTTAGATGATTGGGAATAATCCGTAGTATAGGTATGACTGGCGTTCCCTTCTCATATAATAAATACTACAAGATTTTTTCATAGTGGATAATGTATTTCGTGATCAGTGTCCAAAATTGTTACTTGCCAATATAACGGCACGAGAGCCATTGGTTCGCTATCCCTGGTGTAAATATTTTTTTAAGAAAGTTTTGTATTCAATAATTAATAAATTATCAAATAAATTAAATATGAAGATAGTGATCGTCTTACAATTTTCTTTACATAATGTGTAATGATTTATACAATTTTATTATGTTTATTTTTACAAATAAAAATTTCCGCTAAAGCGAAAATGTATTCAATCACAGTTATATATATATATATATATATATATATATATATATATATATATATATATATAACTTTTAATAATAAATAACAATTATATACTGCAATGATTTTATAAATATACGTATCCGATAAATTCACTACATAAGTACAGCCTTGTTGCTTATTATTAAGTCATCACATGAAATAAATAAATAAATAAATGGTTTTAATAACAATTTTGCTTATTTTTTATATTTCAAGACTTTAGTCAAATAACTCTGCAGCATTATTGTTATTTGATCTCATATAATTAAGCAAAAATTAGTGATACGCGCTATCCGCTTGTCACGCATTCTTCGAATTTGAAGAAAGAATACGTCTTAGTTCATAATCCTACACAAAAACACTAAAAAAATAAAATGCTCGAGACGCATCTAAAAAAATCAGATATAAAAATAATTTATAATTATAAAAATACTAAACAGTAACAAAAAATATATAATTAAAACCATTCACCTAACTTAGAATAGGATTAAATATTCGATTTTAACGAGATACATTCTAGGAATGTTAAACTAAAAACTATAGGAACTGATAAAAACAGCTCGACTTTAATATTACTTTAATTGAAATTATATTTCTTTCAGAGTTTTGTCGACAAATATTAAATTTAAGACTTTTTATATATCTACGTTTATTTAACAACATTAACGTTTCTCAGATATGGTTAAATGTGTGAAAAGATTCTTTTTGATAACTTAAAAATTTTTGTATTCATAGAATATTTAAAACATCTAGAAAGAAACATAACTTCTTACGAACGATAATAAATTACACAATCACATTAATCTTATTAGGTTTATTTATCTTGTGTTTATTCTTCTGGGCAACTCTGCTGCAGCAATTTGCACTGAAAACATATAAGCGTTAATTTTATAACTTCAATGATTCACTGCCATAATTTATAAATCAAAATATACCCATTAATTTTCATAAATTCTCTCAGTACCAAAAATACAAACATAAAGATTAAATTTTGATACAATACCTTCACAACAAATCAATATTTCTAGAATGAAATATGAAGAAGTAAATTATGGTATAAAAGTCTCTCTTTATGTACAACTCTCTTGAAAATAAGAGTAATTCCATGGCCCAAAATAAAGCTAAGAAAATGCAAATATACATTAAATTATAAAATACTTTGTTAACGTTATTTTAGAAGACTAATTCAAGGGTGGTGATGATAATAGAAAATAAAGTCCATTATACCAACCTGATCAATGGCAAGCAATATACACCGAAAGGCAAGAAGCATGTGGCTCTTTCAGAGAACTATTTTGTTGTCCATCTAGAAAAAAAACTAGGCAGTGAACTAAACTACTAAGATTTGTGTATAGCTAAGCATGCGTGGTTTGAGTAAAAATAAATTGATAACAAATAGTACAGTAAAAATTAAACCATTTCATATTTTATTTTATGGCCCAAAACTTTAATTTCATTTTTTTTTTATAAGAGAAGGGGGCAAACGAGCGGCGGGAACACCAACGTGATTATCGACACCCATGGACATCTGCAACACCAGAGGAACTGTAGATGCGTTGCCGGCCTTTAAGAAAATGGTATGCTCGCTTCTTGAAGGTCCCTAAGTCGTATTGGTTTGGAATATTTAATATAAATTTCGTATTTTAATATTTTAAGACGAAAAAGTAATAAGTTAATAAATGAAACAAACTTTATTACTGTGAAAATGAACATGCAAGCAAAAGAAATGACAAACAAAAATTTACACACAACAAAATGCCAAAAAAACACCACACACCAACTTCTATACTTTTATATTATTTACAATTGTGATTATCTCAATATCGTTTTGGTTAAAATTTGAAAAAAAAAACGTTTGCTATGATGATTGATTAATGACATCCACGCAATGAGTTTTGAAAAAGTGAGAAGGAAAAACAAATTTTTATTTTCAAACTTATTATCCAATGACCACTGATAGAACACAGAAGAGGTGAAGTTATAAAAATTAAACACAAAACATAACCAAGCAGATGATATTGATGAATAAACATACTTTATTCTCACGTAGGGAGAAGATAAAATTAATTTGATCACCTATCAAAACCTTATTGAATTGAAATAGAATCGGAGAGTTACCTGTATTCCATTCTTCTTATGTTCCCTGGCTCGTAGTCTGTCGGCTAGAGGAGGTGTGAACAACGCCGGGTCCGGACTGGACTTGCCAGCTCGCTCCCACGGCTGCTGTCTTCTTATGGCTAAAGATACGAGCGATCCAATCACTAGCACCCATACGAAACCAATCTAAAACAACGTTGAGTTTAGACATTTAATATTTGAAAATTAAAACTAAATAAATACTCTGCCAACAGTATCGGGCAACATATACAAACATTTTAATAAAGTTAATTATTTATTGAAATATTTTACGTAAAATGAGGAAATAAAATAACTAGCAGTATATTTTCATCAACCAAACTTTTGAAATTACCTAATATAATATGTTACAAAACCTAACAGCTATTACAATTAGATTGAAGTTGAAGAGTTTATTAGGTTATTAACGTCAAGACCTGAGACGAAACTAAACTAAATTTTTGTTGTCAAGAATTAAAATGGATAGCACGCACATAACAAGTATATCTACTTAACTAAAAAAGTCGTATAAGGTAAATAAATATCTATACAACAAGGAAACTAACAGCAAATCCTTGTTACAAGTATTTGTTATTGCTACAGAACAAAATGTTAAATAACTTACCGGGCTGGTCCACATATAAGATATTCTATATAAATAGAAGTATGAACTGGGACCCGTCGGTGTAGGAGTCGTCAAGGTGACATTGTGCGCGCAGTTTGCCACCGACACGGCCAACTTGACCGGAGCCGGTCGCGGTCCTCCGAAACTCATCCATAGGGTCAACGCCATGCCACTTAATAACGCGAAAGACGCACCCTGTTGTACACAAAGTCATTACAGGAACACTTAAAATTAGTAGATGTTAGATTAGGAAGGAGATAAAGTTCGCTACACACATTTTTAACTGTCATTTAAACTGTACAGTTGTATAGTTGCCTACAATTTAAAACTGTGCCGTTAAAACTGAAGGTGTTTAGTGAGCTTAAAAGAACATGAGTTTCGTTGATATTAAATATTTAGCAAACAAACATCAAATATAATTACTAGTTGGTGCTTCTGAATATACATTGGGAAAGTCCTGTG